ATGCAAAGCCCACACAAGGGCCTTCAGTGTCCGGAGTGAACAACACCCTTCTTTCCCCCTCCCCCTCCCCTGGACGCTGAGGAAGAGCCCAGAAGGAGAGAGTGGGGGTGGGGAGCGGGCTGAGCATTCCGCAGCCTCAATGAAACAGCCGCATTCCTCCGAGGGATCAGATCGCCGCCCCTCAGCGCCAAGGGTTGAAAAATGTCAACGGGTCGGTGCATGTTGGGGCCTCGCTTTTGTTGGTTGTTGTTTCCAAGAGCCTGTCGCTGGCCCCCCCAGGGTGTGGTGGCATCAGGATCGCTGGCCCCTGTCGCACTCAGCACCTTGTCATGGGCCCAAACACACCCTTGACCAGAGGGTGGCTGCCTGGCCTGAGACACAGGCCTGCCTCACGCAGACATGCCCGTGGACAGCTGGTTTTGAGAGCTGAGTGCCCCTGGTCCCGGGCGATGCTGTGCAGAAGGGACCTTACCAAAACCGGTCTGGCTCTGTGGATAGAGCATCGGCCTGCAGACTGAAAGATTCCAGGTTCGATTCCGGTCAAGGGCATATACCTGGGTTGTAGGCACATCCCCGGTGGGGGGTGTGCAGGAGGCAGCTGGTTGATATTTCTTTCTCACTGATGTTTCTAGCTCTCTATCCCTCTCCCTTCCTCTCTGTAAAAAATCAATAAAATATATATATTTAAAATAATAATAATAATAAAAAAGGGACCTGGGTGCAGATCCAGAGAGGAGGGAAGTGACACCCTGGGCTTGGGGACTCTGGTTCCTGGTCCTGAGTTTCTGGAATGCTGCTGCTTACTGTTTACCTCGCTGCTTTTGGGGGAAAGGAGGGTGTCTGCTCCCCCCACCTACCTGCCTGGCGCCTCTGTTCCCTGATTGGCAGGGGACCACAACTACGAGGTCAGGCCGTGTCCCCTGTGTGTCTGATGGTGTTCGGCATGTCTCAGTCACCCAGGGGCGTCTTCACCAGGTCCCATGGCTCTGCATGTCCTATCTGGAGTCCGGCCCCTCCGCCACCTCCCCGCCTTGTGGACTGTGGTGGGACGCGGGACCCAGACGCCCTGATCCACAGAGACCCTGCCCAGGTGGCGGGCAGCACGTGAGCCCCAGTGCGGCTCCTAACCGCGGACATGACCGAGCTGGGTCACCGTCGGCCTCAGGCGCCCAATGCCACAGTGTGCCCGCGCAGTGGTTGGTGGGATGGGAGAGGGTAGGGGCGCAGGGTGGTACATGGCCTCACCGTTGCCAGCAGTCATCTCGCTGGCCTCCCTGCCTCTACTCCTGGCTCCCTGGTCCCCTTCCCCCGTGCCCCCCTATCCGCAGAGTTAGTCTGTCCCTGGCCCGCTTGAAGGGCAGTGCTCCCCGGCCTTCCCCACGGCATTGCCCGGAGGCCCTGCGGCGCTCGATACTAACTGGCTAGCAGAACAGATCCGTGCTCTGTATCTGTGGCCTCAGAGACCACCTTCTCCCTCGGAGGCCACATGCTCCTCGGGCCCCCGAGACAGAAGGCTGGGTGTGGCTTCCCCAACGCTCTTCTGAGCACCTCACCCTCCCTTCCTGGCGTGCCTCTGCCTCGTGCGGGTGAGCCTCCTCATGCCTCCGTGGCCAGCCTAGAAGCTCCTGTCCCCCTAACCCCACCGTTCGTCTCTCCTCCCTGAGTGCGTTCCTGATCCCTGGAGACGACCCTGAGAGCTTCTGTCCTCTCCCTGCCTGTTTCCTGCCCCCTCTCCACACAGAGGGCCCCTGGGAGGGCTGGGCACCCATCTGGGCCACAGCTGTCTCCCCAGGGCACAGCACGCTTCCCTTCGCCTCACTCCGCACTTGCTGGTGTGCAGATAAACACAGGCTGTTTTCCAGGAATCGGGCAGCTTTGGGGGAAGAGTGGAGGATGTGGAAGAGAAGAGACGCTTTCCGTTTGGGCGCCTTTTTTTCCCTCCACCAGCAGAACAGTTTGAAGAAGTTCAGGGGGTCAGGAAAAAGGCAGGCGAGACCCCCACGGCTTTGCCAGGCCCTTTCGCTTTTGCTTCTCCGCTGTAGTCGAGTTCAAGGCTCCGGGTCAGAGTCCTCGCATTCAACCTTTGTGTGTCCCAGGTTGACTTCTTGAAGCGCAGCAGGAAGCTCATGAATAGCTGTGCGAGACCAAACCAGAAAATCACCCATGGCCTGGCCCTCCCACCGCCTCTTCCCAGAAGCCTCCCAGGCCGGGGGCTGTGTTCTTTTTTAAAAATATATTTTATTGATTTTTTTTACAGAGAGGAAGTGAGAGGGATAAAGAGCTAGAAACATCGATGAGAGAGAATCATCGATCAGCTGCCTCTTGCACACCCCCTACTGGGGATGCACTTGCAACCAGCGTACATGCCCTTGACCGGAATCGAACCGGGGACCTTTCAGTCCGCAGGCCGACGCTCTATCCACTGAGCCAAACCAGTTTCGGCGAGGGCCGTGTTCTTGTCTGACACTTGAAGCTGGTGTCTCCCACTTGGCTCTCCCCTGGCTCTGCTTTTGTAATTTTCCAGTGAGTTTAGGCCACGCTGTGGGGTCTCACCCGATGTGACTCGGGAAGCTCTGCTGGTGCCTCTTACGCTATGGGCCTGGCGGGCCTTCTCTGGACTGCTGGGTTCATGTCTGCAAAATGGACTGGAGCTTGCTTCTTAGAGTTGTCAGCTAGTAGGTACCTATAACCTGACTCGTTCATTCATTCATCCATTCATTCATTCCACACGCACAGCAGTGCGGTGGCAAAGGTGCAAGACGAATGTGGTCCCAGCTCCGCTGAGCTAACGGACCAGATTCGGGTGGGGAAGAAAAATACAACTTAAAAATGAGCAAAGTAAAAGAAAACTGCTATTTTATTCCTTGTTCATTTTCCTCATTTTCAACTTTTACTTAAAATCGTTGACGTTCGTATCGTTAACAAATTGTGATTGGGGCTAGGGAGGCAAGAGGTCGCTGCTAAGTTAGAAAATAAAAATTAAAAAACAAAGGACAACAAGAAAGGTCTACCTTGGGCAGGGTGGTCCGGGAGGGCTTCTTTGAAGAGGTGACTTTCTTCCCCTCCCCTCCCTTAGGAGGCACATCCAGAGGAAATGCTATTTTTATTTATTTATTTATTTATTTATTTATTTATTTATTATTTATTTTTTATTTTATTTTATTTTTTTTCCTGAAGGGGAGCTTAGAGATGACTGCTGGTGGTAGAAAAAAAAAAAAAATTAACGGTGCTAGGGGGTGAGAAGGAAAACCAGGATGCGATGATGACAACATTCTGAGTGGCTAGGGTAGCACTTCACAAGCACAGTGGCCAGAAGCTTCACAGACCTCGTCACTCACAACTGCCTTGTGAGAGGGGCAGGCCCCGGGGTGGTCTCCGGAGCTGGGCATGGTCGCGGGACTGCTCAGAGTCCCCACAGCAGGCGATGGAGGGCCAGTTTGGACTTGCTGTTGTCATGGGGAGCAGGGTCTTCCGCTGTGGTCCCGGCACTGGGTTTGGACCTGTGCTTCTCCGCTGGCTGCCACATTGGAGGTGGGAGAACTGTTGACCCCTGGGTTCCACTCCCAGACATTCTGCTCATCAATCTGGGGTGGGTTTGGGCCTCTGGATTTTTAAAAAAATATATATTTTTATTGATTTCAGAGAGGGAGAGAAAGAAAAAAAAATCAAAGATGAGAGGGAATCAGTGATCGGCTGCCTTCTGCATGCCCCAGACTGGGGATCGAGCCTACAACCTGGGCCTGAGCACCTGACCAGGAATTGAACCGTGACCTCCTGGCTCATAGGTCAACGCTCAACCACTGAGCCATGCCGGTGGCAGGGGGACATCCGGATTTGTAAAAGCTCTCCAGGTCATTCCAGTGGCTGGAAAGCACTTTTAGGCCCTCAAGGAGCTGGCGTCCATGAATGAGCATGTTTTGGAGAGCCAGGCAGGCAGGGAGAGCCAAGAGGGTGAACCCGTCAGCGAATGCAATGCCTTCTTTAAAAAAAAAAAAAAAATAATAATATATATATATATATATATATATATATATATATATATATATATATTATTGATTTCAGAGAGGAAGAGGGAGAGAAGAAGCGCCAATGATGAATGAGTGAGAATCATTGATGAGCTGCCTCCTGCACGCCCCCTACCGGGGATCAAGCCCACACCCAAGCATGTGCGCCCTGGCTGGGAATTGAACCATGACCTCCTGGTTCATAGATCAAAGCTCAACCCCTGAACCCCACTGGACAGGCCGCCCTGTTCTTAGTGGATATTTAGGTTGATACTAATAATGATGACGACAACACTGGTGAACTCATAGACTGCCGCCCTCTGTACTAGCACTTCCGCAAGGGGCTTGCAGCTGGGAGATGAGTGCTTCGATGGTGGTGGTCCTTGAGGGAGACGTACTGATAATGGGATCCGCGGAACCAGGGCCCTCCCTGGGGGCGATGCTGGACTTGGTGCTGCCTGAGGTGGCCCAGTCACTGAAGAAACTCAGGGGAAGGTTTTATTTGCTTAAGCGTGGCTTTTGATGGGTCATCCATATTTCTGCAAGGACAGTGGGACCACTGTGTCACCTCCTAGGAGTGATTCTGTTCATTCTTTCACCATCCTTGGAGAAAGAACGAACAACTGGTCAACCATAGTACTTCTTTTGATGGTTGTGGGTTTGATCTGTCTTCCAGTTCTCTAGAGGCCGAGCTGCTTTAATTGGCTTTTATCAAGGAAGAAAATTCTGTCTCCAAATTCTCATGGCCTTAGGGGCTTGCTCGGGCCATCTCAGCCACCATCACACCAGCAAATGGTAGACCGGCATCGCTGGTTGAAGACCTGTTTTCCTTTCCCCGAGACCCTGGCACTGGGCATCCCACATGCTGCCAGGCCTTTCCCCATACCCCTCCCCTCGGGACCAGAGAGTTCGTGGCAAGTGGCGGGGAGGAGGGGGATGTCAGAGTTAGGCCTTAAAGAAGGCAGCCACGGTAAAAGCTTCTTCTGTCCTCTCTAGCGCTGGAGCAGCTGCTGACAGAGCTGGAGGACTTCCTCAAGATCCTGGACCAGGAGAGCCTGAGCAGCACGGCGGCGGAGAGGAAGAGTGGCCTGGCCGAGCGCCTCCGCCTGTACATCAAAAGCAGCAGTGAGTGCGGTCCGGCGCCGGGAGAGGCCCCCGGGAAGGGACCGATGGTGGTTGTATTGACGAGGGCAACCGGAGTGACGTTCCACAGGCTGGGTGGCTCACACAGCAGACGCGTACTTCCTTGCAGTCCTGGAGACCAGCACCCCGAGAGCGACGTGTCTCCAGATTTGGTTCCTTAGGAGGCCTTGCTCCTTGGCTTGTGGATGGCTGTGTCCTCTCTGGGTCTTCATGCCTGTCTGTGTCCAAATCTCCCTTCTTATGAGGTCACACTAGATTCGGGCCCAGGCCAGTGGCCTCCTTTAATATGAATCACCTCTTTAAAGACCCCTTCTCCAAGGACCTCTCCTCTGAGCTCCTGAAGGCGAGGGTTTAGCATATGCATTCCGAGGAAACACAGGCCTGCCCATAACAATAGTGTGGGAGGGATGGGACTTGAATGCCAGCCCAGAAATCTCCAGCCACTCAGCACATCAGCTACGAGTGAGGTTTTCAACAGCGTGTTTCCAAAGCACTTTTCCTTACTGGTTGGAAGTGGAGAAGGGATCGTCAACTCTTGTAATAATAGCCGAGGCCTCATTGAGGGCTTCCTATGTGCCCACGTTATTAACTTGTTTCATCTTCAAGACAGCCCTCTGAGGTTGGCTGTGATGACAGAAAACTGAGGCCAGGAGACTTTTTTTAAAAAAATATACATTTTATTGATTTTTTTTACAGAGAGAAAGGGAGAGGGAGAGTTAGAGACATCGATCAGCTGCCTCCTGCACACCCCCTACTGGAGATATGCCCACAACCACGGTATATGCCCTTGAACGGAATCGAACCTGGGACCCTTCAGTCCGCAGGCCCACGCTCTATCCACTGAGCCAAACCATTAAGGGTGAGGCCAGGAGACTTGAAATAACTTGCCATGTGTCATAACAGCCCAAGAAAAAAAAATGGGAAAACACAGTTTTAAGAATCTGTAAATCACAGAACGCCGAGTTCATGGGTTTGTTTTCTTTTTTTTACTGAGGTCCGTGTTCACACGCAAGCAAGTACACAGATCATGAGTGTGCAATTGGTTGAGTTTTGACAGTTGTCTACTGTCTGTGTCCCTACCACCCAAAACAAGGCACAGAATATTTCTATCATTCCAGAAAGTTCTTTCTTTTTTTTTTTTTTTTAAATATATTTTATTGATTTTGTACAGAGAGGAAGGGAGAGAGATAGCGAGTTAGAAACATCGATGAGAGAGAATCATCGATCAGCTGCCACTTGCACACCCCCTACTGGGAATGTACCCGCAACCAAGGTACATGCCCTTGACCGGAATCGAACCCGGGACCCTTCAGTCCCCAAGCCGACACTCTATCCACTGAGCCAAACCGGTTTCGGCCAGAAAGTTCTTTCTTGCCCCATCCCAGGGAACCCCTCCCCATGGCAACCACGGTCCGGGTTTCTCCCACCGTAGATCAGCGTTGCCCGCCCTTGAGCTTCACGTGGATGGCATGGTAGAGCATGCACGTCATGTCTGGCCTCTTTCGCTCAGGAGGTTCATCCATGCGAAGGGGCGGGGCAGTGGTTTCTTCCTCTTATGGCTGAGGAGTGTTTCCTTCTGCCACGAGGCCACCATCTGCTGCTCCACTCACTCGGGGGCGGGCATTCCGGTGTCACACATTGGGGCCATCATGAAAAAGGCCGCTCTGAACATCCTTGGCCGCGTTTTCTTACCGACACATGGCTTTGTTTCTAACCCATTCCGATTTATTATTATTATTATTTTTTAAAATAGAAAAGCCTTCGTGTGAAGTCATAGCAGTTGAGCCGAGTTTATTTTTATCTCGGATGCTTGAGGATCGGAAGTGATGGGCGGGGACAGTAAGGGGCCATCAGGGGGCCTGTCCTCCATCTGCCTCTCGGCAGGAGCAGCCTCCATTCGTGCCGGGCAGGGGGCGTGCACCTGCTCCGGCCGTCAGAGTCAGGAAGCTCTCCCTGCGGCCAACCTGAACCTGCCGGGCCACACGCCAAGGCCCCTCTTCCTCCCCTTTGTTCCCCGTGGAACTGGTTTCTGTTCTCTGAGTACCAGAGTCGTCATCGTAAAGCTGCACATGCTGCTACCTGCCCGGCAGCCTTCTCTCTCGGTGAAACAATCCTGGCTCCCCCCGCCTGGCGTTCTCCTTGAGCTGTTGGGTCTTTGGGCTCCGGGCCAGCCCCCGGTTCCCAGGCTCCTGGCTTTGTAGTGAGCATCTGCTGGCCTGCCCGAGTGCTGGTCAGCCCCACATCAAAGGTGGGAACGGCAGATGGGAAAGCCACATCACAGAGCAGGTGAGGTAGAGAGGCATGAATCATCCGCGAGAGGATTCGTCAGCGGAATCTTTTATTTATGTAATTTTGATTTTTTTTTGTTTTGTTATTGATTTCAGAGAGGAAGGCAGAGGGAGAGAGAGAGAGAGAGAGAGAGAGAGAGAGAGAGAGAGAGAGAGAGAGAGAGACGGAGACATCAATGATGAGAGAGAATCGCTGATCGGCTGTCTCCTGCATGCCCCACACTGGGGATCGAGCCCGCAAACTTGGCATGTGTCCTGACCGGGAATCGAACTGTGACCTTCTGGTCCATAAGTTGATGCTCAGTCACTGGCTGGGCATCAGTGGATCCTTTATTACTATTACTAGAGGCCCAGTGCATGAAATTTGTCCACTGGCAGTGGGGTGAGGGGTCCCTCAGCCCGGCCTGTGCCCTCTCGCAGTGCAGGAGCCCATGGGGGATGACTGCTGGCTTGTGCCTGCTCCCCGCAGGCTGGTGGTCAGTGCATGTCATAGCAACCGGTCATTCCACTGTTTAGTTGATTTGCATATTAGCCTTTTATTATATAGAATTTTTTATTGATTTCAGAAAGGAAGGGAGAGAGAAACATCAATGATGAGAGAGAATCACTGATCGGCTACCTCCTGCACACTCCCTACTGGGGATAGAACCCACAACCCAGGCATATGCCCTTGACTGGAATTGAACCCTGGACTCTTCAGTACAAAGGCTGCTGCTCCATTCACTGAGCTACCTGGCTAGGGCCCTCAGCGGATCCTTGAAACAGCACACTTTCCAGCCCATCGCTCTGACCTGAGAATGTGCAGGAATGAAGAATCTCTGGCGGGAACTGGAAAGCACCTTTGTGATGGAGTCTGAACCCTGGTGCTTGGCTCTAACCTCTCTCGCAGATCCCCTGGGGGGAGGGGGGTCCCCGTATTGGTATAACTGTGGCCCTTGCAGTAGGTGGCCTTGGTTTCACTCTCGATCTTTGTGTTCTCACTTGGTCTCTGCAGCTCGCAGGCCTGCAGGAGGCTGCTGAGGTCCTGTCACAGCCTCCCAGTGTGATACACCCCCAGAGTGCCACCCCAGCTGTTAACAATACACGTGCACGGCCTCACCGAGGCCCATAACAGCCACTCTAGTCTTAAGGTTGTGACAGTCACTACTAATAGCCCCTGAGAACTTCCCTCTGGTCCCCTTGCTGCATCCTTTTGACCACAGAGTGGCTGTACTGGCCGCTAACATTTGTTGTGGATTGACCGGGTCCCAGCACTGGCCTCAGCATATAAAATAACATGGTCTCTGTCATCCATTTCCCTTCCCAAGTCAGTGAGGGAGTTGTCATCGTTCCCATCTTACCAATAAGGGAACCAAGGCTTGGGAAGTCACTTGCTGAGCCCGGTGGCCTTGGTGCCCGAGCAGGGCCTGAGCAAGTGCGCCTACCACTGTGCTCTCCTCCAGCCCCACAGTGTCAGATTAACCTGGATCGCACAGGGCAAAATCCAAAGCACCCCAAAACTATAGCACCCGTCTTGCTCTCAGCCTCACTATGCTTTCTTCAGAAAATGAGCTCAGGCTGATGGAGCGTGGAGGTAGAGGTGGTTGATCGCCAAGACAGCCTGGGGCCGACGCTGGCTGAGCTGTTTCTCGTGGGTTTGACACTTTTCAGATGCAATTTTCCATTTGGTGTTTTGTTTTGTTTTCATCTTTTGCTTTCTTATTGCCACACCAATTCTCTACTAACTTTGCTTTTTGTCAGCATGGTGAGGTCTATGTATGGGGGCCTGCTGTTTGTTCCTGCCTTCACCAGGGAGGGCTCCAGCCCTCCCCAGCATCCACTCAGGCACTATAGGGAAGTTTCAGGGTTGCCCCTCTGCAAGGAAGAGCTTCAGATGTTTTGTCTATCCACCTGCAGCAAAGAGGGTCCATGTCTTGCTGAATCCAGTTTGGCTCAGTGGATAAAGTGTCGACCTGTGGACTGAGGGGTCCCAGGTTCAATTCCTGTCAAGGGCATGTACATTGGTTGCGGGCACATCCTCAGTGGGGGGGGCGTGCGAGAGGCAGCTCTCTCTCATCGATGTTTCTAACTATCTCTTTCCCTTCCTCTCTGTAAAATAAATCAATAAAAAAAAAATTTTTTTTTAAAAGAGGGTCCATATCTCTCCTCCCCACCTGTCACCCCATTCCCGGGGAAGGACCCCCCTCTACAGGCACGCTCCCTCCCCCAGGAAGCACAGACTGTTGGGTTCCTGGAGGCAGAGACAGTGTCCAGTGTCCCCGCACCTAGATCAGCACTGGTGTTGGGTTCAGGTCTGGGAATGAAGGAGTGTCATTCAGCAGCTCAGCAGCCTCCCCTGGGAGGGCCCCATCCCCTGGGCTCTTCCCAGGATTGTAGGCGGTGCTGGGAGCCTCCTCCTTGCCAACCTGGATGGTCCTGGATTCACAACCCTCTGCGAGTAAGGACCTGGTGGACCACGGCCCACAGGTGCCCGAGGTGGGAGCCACGCAGCCCTGGGGGTGGCCTTTGCAAGTTTTCTCTGGAGCTTACGAGTCTCCCTCTCAGAGGAAGCACCTGCTCAGAAGGCCGTCAGTTAAAACAATAACAGTATTTTGCCTTTTATTTCTTCGTGTGACAGTGTGGGCGTAGTCAACAAGATGGAAAAAAAGAGAGAAAGAAATGCAAAATGAACATTAGGCATGATTTATGTCCTTAGGTTCCTGTTGTGATCTTTATCAGCGTCCCCCGGGTATCCTGTGGTGGGACCCGCCTCTGTATTTGGCCTGACAGCGTCTTTGCATTTATAATTGCTGTCGGTGCGCATTTCCACGCGCTGGCAGTCCACATGGTTTTTCGCTTCTGAAATGGGGCCCTTTAACTTTCATCTTGGCTGTCTCTATAAACAGCAGACATAGACTACTTCATTTTCCCCTTTTGGGTAGCATATGGATGAACAGTATTATTCAAATGGTCTCCTGTTAGCGAGCATTTAAGTTTTTCTTTTTTTGTTTGTGTGTGTGTGTGTTTTTTTTTGTTTGTTTGTTTTTTTAAAGAAACCTCATACAGTATTGCAATGAACATCCTCAGGTAAGAGTATGTTTACATGCTGGAGTTGGTCTCCAGGAGAAATTCCTGGTGTTGTAAATGCTGGATCAAAGAATAGGAAGACGTACAATTAAATCATCCTCTGAAATCACTTCCCAGTGGCTGTGCCGATGCCCACGCCATTCAGTAATCCGTTTATGGTTACAGGCAATATGCTGCTGTGTGTGTTGATGTGCCATGGTTTGTTTCACTATTTTCCCATTATTGAGACTGTGAGCGCCCATATTTTGGGCTTCCATCTATATATATATAATTTATTTCAGAGAGAAAGAGAGAGATAGAAATATCAGTGGTGAGAGAGAATCATTGGTAGGCTGCCTCCTGCACACCCCACACTGGAGATCAAGCCCGCAACCTGGGCATGTGCCCTGACCGGGAATCGAGCCATGACCTCCTGGTTTATAGGTCAACACTCAACCACTGAGTCACACCAGCCAGGCTAGGCTGCCATTTTTAATCTTCGTCAGTGAGAAGATGACCTTCCTTTTTCAAATTTCCTCATATTTGGGATTTGTACTCTTGAGCTTCACAGTTAAGTAGAAAGAGGCCATATTTCATCACGATTGCTTTCCATACGATGCGGACAAGAAAACCGAGGTGTACACTATTCATGGCCAAGCCTCTCCAGCCTCCTCCTGCGGAGCCCTTTCCCCTGCGCACGCTCTGCAGAAGGTTCTGGCTCAGCCCTCTGGAGCTCTGAAGGTGCAGCCAGGCCGGCTGTAGCTCCCTGTGTTGGGGCCTCCTAGTTCCCTCCGTGAGCTCCTGCAGCCCTTGGGACAGGGGTCGCGTGGCTGACTGGTCCTGGCGGGGCTGGGCACCGAGCTGGCGATCCACAGACCCACGGTGGAGGACGCATCTGGTTGCATCCTCCTCCTGCGCCTCTTGAGTTCTCAGGGCTGTTTCCACAGGCCTGTTGGCTCGAGTCCGCGCGGTCTGTGGTGAGGAACTGACTGGCACGGAACTGCCTCCTTTGCCAGGGGTTTGGATTGAGTTCCTTGGCTCGGTCACAGGGTCTCTAACCACTGGAATCTGTCAGCCACAAGTCTCTAGGAAATGGGAATTGAGGGCCTCGAAAGACATGCAGGAGGGCTTGTGAGAGGAGAAACACTAGCAGGAGCTTTCTCTGCGGGCGGCTGGAAAAAAGAGTCCTTGGGTGTTAGCAACTGAGCAAGTGCTGGGAGACTAGCCTTTCTCGGCCCAGGCAGGCACTGGGAGAGCGACAGCCTGCACAGACATTACTCTGAAGGAGAAGGGATAAGCTGCTGCAAGGTACAATCTCCAGGGTAGAGCAGTGGCTGGAAGTGCTCCATTGCCAATTCACCGCACATGTACTTAAATTCACCAATTCACCGCTCATGTACACCTCTAAACCCGAGCTCACGTTTTGGATTTCTCAGCCCCTCCCTGCCCCCTCCCCACATTGGCACCCCAGCTAGAGGCTTGGGAGCTAAACTTCCAGATCCTCAGTGTGACCTATCTTGTTCTGGTTAGCCCAGGCAAGTAATTCAGACTAGAGTGAGAGGGGCTGATAGGAACCATTCTGCAGTGTAAATGAGACCCTAGGAAGCCCAGAGCAATCTCTGGCGAATGGAATATGAGGTGCAAATTGTTGAGATGTGGGAGCCTTTCCCCTTGAGATGTCTGTACCCTACCTGTAAACGAACAGTCGGCAACCTGGCATTTCTTGGTTTATGTTGGACTCTTTTGGTCAACTCAAAATACTGTGAGTCTTTCCTGGAATCCAAGCAGATGGCAGTGTCACTAAGGGACATCGTTTCTCTCTGGAAGCCCTTTCCCTTCACGGAATCACACGAACTTCCATCCTCCCCCTGCAGGTTCTGACGAGGAGTACATTTACATGAACAAAGTGACAGTCCACAAGCCTCAGGATGCCGAGTCCCAAGACAAAGGTACGGGGTTGGGGCTGCCCACGGCCTGGCCAGCTCCCGGGAGCGGGGGGAGGTGTGAGCCTTGGTCCCGTCCCAGCTCTCCGTCCTCCCAGCCAGCACCACAGACTGGCCCGGGGAGATATTTTGGAGAGTCACATTTTGGTTGGTGTATTTTGGGTTGATGTATTTTGGGAGGCTGCACCGGGCCACCTCCTTGCCTCTTAAAGGTCTCGCGTCCCCCTTGTGGTTAAGGAACCCGTTCCTGAAACCTCTCAGCTCTTCCCAGCACTGTCCCAGGAATAGGAAGTTATAATTCAGACGCTTTCCGAAGGCAGCTGTGGATGGTGCTGACCCCACGGTTCCAGCTTTATGTCCTTTGATAGAAGTCTGGATTTTATGTGTGTGTCGGGGAGGGGTGGGAAATTTTGATGTCAGCAACTGCCTTAATATTAAAGGCTTTCCCCCAGGTGTTCTCGTGGGCAGGAAGGACACAGGATGTCTTCCGGGCTGTCTTAGTCTCTGCCCAGGTCTCCTCCCTACTTTCCTTTGAAAACCTCGGGAGTAGAGCTGGCAGAGCCCAGGGAGATCTGGAGGGTTGTAGGCTGCCTCGTGGTAGGCAGGGGAGGGTTAGAAGCCCATTTCCCAACTCCTGTTTCCCAGAGGCTTAGAGAGAGGCAGACACACAGCAGCCAGAGCCCTCCATCCTGTTCAGATCTTGGCCCCAAACATCAGCCACCGAAGCCCTGATGTCAGTCTGCCTGTGCCTGTCTGCCCTGGCTGCCTGGGCCGCCGGCCAAAGTGGTCAGACCGTGAAGAGCCTTGGGTGCCTTTCCCTCAAAAGCACAGGGGGGTAGGGGGGGTTGGTGGTCAGGTTCTTCGGTGTGGTGCTTCCACCTCCTGCCCCGTGGCGAGGCCTGGGCTCAGCAGCATCCACCGGCAAGGACTCAGGGCCACTGTCCTTCCCGCTAAACTGGGGGAAGGAAAGAGCCCTAATCACAGGGTCGGAGCCGAGCGTGGCTTAATATAGCGACCACAGGGCAGCTCCCCTGGGCGCTGGGGCTCTGTGGCGAGGCCGTTTTTGACACGGGGCGGGTGGAGGCGGGCTTGCGGAGCCTGCCAGACCCCAAACCAGCTCCTCCTGAGGCATCTGGCGGGGTTCACCGCCGTGCCCTATTCCTGGAGGGAAAACGGCCGTGGCCCCAGCCCCTGGGTAATTAACACCTGCCCAAATAGCACCCGGGGGCACATGTGAGCAGGCGTTCCTGGGTAATGAGGGCCTGTGGGGAGGCTGGAGGCTGGCACCCCTCACCGGAGCTTCTGCTTGCTGCCCGCAGCGCCCGAGGAGCAGAGCCCGCTGGCCAACGGGGAGCCCCGCCAGCATGCCACGGCCCCACAGAAGAGTCTCCCGGACCTCCCGCCCCCCAAGACCGTAAGTATGGACCTGAGACCCCTGATTTCCCTGCCTTGGGCCCCGTGAACCTCCAGTTGTTTTTACAGGTGTCCCTCTGTCCAAGGTCTGGCCTTTTCTGCGTATCTACTGTGTGTCAGTAAGCCTGCCTGCAGGGGACGTCATTTGCTCAGGACCACAGTCCTGGGATGCTCTGGGCGATGGAAGAGGGAGATGAGGGAGAGCCCCTTTAGCAAGCGCCACCGTGTGTCCGAGGCCACGTCAGGCTCTTGACCCAGCGCCACGTGGAGCCACGTCCAGCTGTGGCTGCCAGCTCAGGCCACCGGGCGCTTTTAGAATTGCATGTCACGTCACGCTGCGCATCCTGCTTGGAGTCAGCCAGTAGCTCTCACTGAACTTAGGGAAAACATCCACGTTTCCTAGCACGACCCCAGGGCCTGCCCAGCGCGGCCCAGCTGCATCCCCAGGTTCTGCGCATGTGCCGTCCCTGAGACTGTGCCACGTGCTCGGTCCTGCCTCGGGGACGTGGCACCTCCTCGCCTGGCTCTTCGATGGCGGCTGCCTCCTCACCTCTTAGACATTCTCAGACCGACTCTCCCTGGCCTGCCGACCTCGGGCATCCCACCTCCGTTCCACCCCAGCTACTGTCCATCCCACTGTCCACTTACCGCCTCCTCGGCACTACCACCTTGAAATGGGCTTCTCCGGCTAGATACAAGCTCCTGGCACAGGGCCTGTGTCCTGCTCAGTGTTTAATGTCCCATGTCTGCACACAGTGAGCCACACACACTGGATGGATGGATGGATGGATGGATGGATGGATGGATGGATGGAAGGAAGGAAGAAAGGATGGATGGATGATGGGTGATGGGTGGATTTATGGAACCATAGGCCTGGGTTCAGGCCCCAGCTCAGCGAGGGACTAGCGCTTTGACCTTGAGCAAGTTATAAGGTCTCTGGCGCTTGTTTCCTGGTGTTGAAGTGAACAGAACGTGGACACCTCTCTCCATGAGGTTGTCTTACTCTGCGGCCTGAGGTGGTGCGGCATCCTGCGTTAGTATCTGGGGAGGGAAGTGGTAGTGCTGATATTTTATGGCTGAGGAGCGGGGAGCCAGCAGGTGTCTTTGGCCTGGATGCCACACGGCCTCCACGTGGCAGAGCCGGGGCTGGAAGAACCGGGGCTCTTTCCTCTGGAGGGTCTGGCTGGGGAGGCTTCCCAGGGATGAGTGAGACAATGCCCATGGAGCAGGGGTTCCGGGAGGTCAGCACCAGCAGGAAGCTGTGCGACGCCATGGACATGGAGCTATAAACCAGTCGGACCCTGGCCCGGAGGCTCTGGCACAGGCTTCAGCTCTTCCTCCTGCCGCCTGGGGCGTGGGTCCTGAGGCCCCGGGCTCTGGGGTGTGAGAGGCAGGGCCCGGGAGCCAGGCAGGGCCGCAGGGGCCCAGGGAGGCTCTGTCGGTGCCGGAGAGAAACGTGGCTTCGGGGTCGGGGCGATACCGCCACACAAGAAGGACGCCGTCGGTGGCCCTCGGACTGCGGGAACGGCTCCAGCGGACACGCTCCCGGCCCCGGGGAGACGTCCAGCGAGCAGCTGGCCCATGGTCCTCCCTCCTCATGGAATTTCTCTGCTGAGAAGGACAAGGGGTGCTGGTCTCCCCCAGGTCTGTCCTGGGCCCCCACCCCCGGAGCTGCTGGGTGTGCGGTGAGAAAGGGGGCGGCCGGCGGAGTCGGGGTGCTTACCGGGCCCTGCACACACGCGCAGGGTGCTTACCGGGCCCTGCACACCGGGCCCTGCACAGCCTGCTCTCCCTCAGGCTGCCTCTCTGTCAGGTCTGGCTCAAGGAGCCATAACTCTTACTCCGAGGCCCCCAGAGGAATGGCGTCAGGGCAGAGTGAGGAGCAGCTGTGGCTCTGAGGGAGGAGGAGGAGAGGGGAGGGGGAGGACAAATAGAAGAAGGAAGGGGTTAGAGGTGAAGGAGGAGAAGAAGGGGGAGGAGGAGAGGGGAGAGGAAGAGGGGGGAGGAGGAGAGGGGAGGAGGAAGACAAATAGAAGAAGAAAGGGGTTAGAGGTGAAGGAGGAGGAAAGGGGAGAGGAAAGGGGGGAGGAGGAGGAGGGAGGAGGAGGACAAATAGAAGAAGGAAGGGGTTAGAGGTGAAGGAGGAGGAGAGGAGGGAAGAGGAGGGAGAAGGGGGAAGGGGAGGAGGGGTGGGGAGGACCTGAGCAGCAGCAGTTTGGGAGCATGAGCTTGGAGGGACCTCGGACCCCTCTTCTTCAGACAGAGAAAGCCTCGCCCTTCCTTCCCTGACCCCGGAGCCTCAGGGAGCCGCGGTGGCTTGTCCGGCCCAGGCTTGCGAGTGGCTGTGGTAGAAGCTGGAGTCTGCCCGGGCTTTGGGGTCCCCCGTGCCCATGGCTGGGCCAGGAGGAGGCCTCTGTCCCGGGCTCAGGATGTCCTGATTCTCTCTCTGGCGGCCAGTTCCCCCTCCATCCCCCACCCCAGAGTCAGTGCACAGCAGACCCGGGACAGAGGCGATGGAACGGCCAGGGTCTAGAGCAACCGCGTGGGTGTGGCCGGTGACTCAGGCCGCTGTGGCACTTCAGGCCACCGGCTGCACCGCCAGGGGCTGTGGTCGCTGCGGGAGAAGCAGATGTGCGCTGCCACCCCCACCCACCTCCCTCCAGAGGCCTGAACTCACATCCCTTGGTTTTAAGTGAGCTGCTCTGGGTGGGCGGCAACTGCATAACGGACATTACCGCCGCCAGTCTGGGAGCTGGGCCTGGCCGGTGCACCAGACCTCCCCCTCTCCCCCGCCCCGGACCTCCCCCCATGCTCTCTGGGGCAGGTTGCTTGGAAGTGCAGGGCCACCCCAGGCCATCCGGGCCACCCCAGGCCATCAGCATCAGCCATGATCTCTATCAGAATCGGCCAAATCCACAGCTGCCGCTTTCCCGTCAGCCGTTTTCCCAGAGCGCAGACACCCTCACTGAGCTTGGCATCATCTGTGGGTGCTCTGGCACCGCATCAGCTGGCTTGGCGGGCTGAGATCAGAGACCCTACAAACCTCGGAAGTGCTTCCTGTTTGGCTCGTTACCGAAAAAGTCTGAGACCTCTGGCAAATCCTGCGGAGCCGGGTGGCCTTCCTGTGACCCACATCTCTTTTGCATCTTCACTCCGTGTTCGTGATCTTCATGATGATGATGATGATGGTGATGATGAAGAATAGTTCTTTATCCCTAACCCCAGGACACTAGGCTCTCTTGCTCCTTTGCCCTCTGATGGGGGCCATCGTGTCAGTGCAATGAGGTGGCTCTCTTTCCAGTTGTGTGTGCTCCACTCCAATGCCGCATACGAACCTCGGGGTTGACGCAGCTCCAAGGCCCTGTCCCCCGGGCATCCTTCCTTGGTCCTAAATGTTCCCCCCACCCTCCTGGTTCCCACCAAACCCGGACCTTGTCTGTTACAGCACTGTTCACGATGCACTTGATCCAGAACTGTGCACGCTCCCTGTCTAGTTAGGTCTGTCTTGAACACAGCAGTGTGTCCTGTGCAGCTAACATGCAGAAGCCATCCGGTATGTGCTGAATGAGGGATTGAACGTGTTATGGTAAAATTTCTAAGTCCTTAGGAACCTGATCATTTTCCTCCATGGACCTGTGATTAGTCTTTGTCTTATTTTTGGTTTTTAATGTTTTTATTGACTTTAGAGAGAGAGAGAGAGAGAGACATCAATGATGAGAGAGAATCACGGACAGGCTGCCTCTTGCACACCCCCACACTGTGGATGGAGCTTGCAACGCAGGCATGTGCCCTGACCGGGAATCAAACTGGCAACCTTCTGGTTCGTAGGTCAATGTTCAACCACAAGCAACACTGGCCAGGCAGACCTTGTCTTTTTTTTGAAAGTATATCCTATTAGCTACCACAACAGCCTGACAGCTTCTGGTCTTTGCGAATCGGGTGGCACGTGCGCAAGGATAGTTGGTGTGTGCGGTGGGGGTCTGAGCCTCACCTTGGGGAGGAGAGAGCTGGTCTCGGCAGGGTAAAGCAGTGTGCCCACAGCCCTCACCGGATGCAGTGCAAACACAGTGGATGGGGTCCCGGTAGTCCGAGGCCTCCCTCCCAACTTGCTTGACATCCAACTGACCATTTTCTCTTCTGGGCTCCCCCTCTTTCCACCCAAAGGGTTAATTCCGCGTTTTTGCTAGGGTATCATACCTGGAAAATGTTTTATTCGTTCATCCCACAGATTCCAGAACGGAAACAGCCCTCCATCCCAAAGATCGAGTCTCCAGAGGGTTACTATGAAGAGGCTGAGCCATACGACGTGTCCCTCAATGGTACGTCCTGGGGCCGGGGCTGGGACACGGGTGGGGGTAAATCGCTTCCTGCACAGATGGGTGCTGGCAACGAGGACAGCCCGGGCTGCTCTTACCAGCAGGCATGGCTGAAGCTGAGAATTGGCCAGATATTGAGCCTCTGCTCAGGTGGGGCGCTGAGACCTGCAGCAGACCCCACCGCCTGCCAGGAGGGTCAGGATGGCCCACAGCGAGCTGGTGCAGGGGCCTGGCACTTTGTGTGTTCCCACCTGGCTGTGCCGGGATCCAGCACAGAAATGTGTTGGAAGAGAGGCATGTTGGGAGTCAGGAAGTCACAGCCTGTAGGTTCTCTGTCTCTTGGTGTAGGAATTCTTTAAAAAAAAAAAAAAAAAATATATATATATATATATGTTTTTAATATATATATAAAAATATATATATTAAAAATATATATAAATATATATTTTTAAAACATATTTTAAATATATATAAATATATATTAAATAATATAAAAATATAAAAAATTAAAAATATATTTTATATATATATTTTAAATATATATATAATATATATATACATATATATATATATATACACACACACACACACATATATATATATTGATTTCAGAAAGGAAGAGAGGGGGAGAGACAGAAACATCAATGATGAGAAAGGATCCTCGATCGGCTGCCTCCTGCACGCCCCCCACTGGGGATCAAGCCTGCCACCCGGGCATGTGCCCTGGCCAGGAATCGAACCGTGCCCTCCAGGTTCATAGGTGGACACTCAACCACTGAGCCACGCCGGCCGGGCCATGTAGGAGTTCTTGAACACAGGCCCCAAGGTTCCGGAAGGAAGAGAGCATTGTGGCCTTCTCTTCCAGGCAGCTGGACTTGGGTCCTCTCACTGTCTCCTTCGTACCCCCTTCCCTTGTAAGCCACAGCCTTTGAGAGCATAAAGCAGTTTGCAGGTGTCAGAAAAGAGGGCCCTGGTTGTGGGAATGGACTGCAGGGGGCGCTGTGGGCCCCACAGAGAAGGGCTTGGGATGAGACTGGCAGGCCCTCGGAGCTGGGTCGGAGGCTCTGTCTTCATGCTCCCCTGCTGCCCTCGGCCCAGGCACTGTGTGTTCGGTCTGAAGTTCTTTTCCTCTGAGAGGCCAGCATGGTGGGCAGACGTCCTGTAGCTTGAACCCTCTGAGCGTGTGAGATGCTTTGGAGCCACCGGCAGAGCTGTGATTTCAGCCCCAAGCTGTGGGCGTGTGGCTCCCGTCGGGCTGCATCTGGGAGGAGGAGGAGGAGGAGGAAGAAGTGACTCACCGCGGTGGGCACCTCACCTCCGTGGTGTCTGAAGCCTGGGGTGCTCGCCTGGGTGTGGCCCCTGCCGGCTGGGACCTGCCTCCCAACGCCCAGGGGCCTGTCTGCAGGGCTGACACTGCATCTCGACACAGACACGGGGTCAGAGGATCTGAGTTTCTTGGTGTCTGTCTCTGGGCGATGAGTTCATCTTGTTTTTAGCAAAGCGGGGGGCTGGGGGAGGGGTAGTCATCCCACGGGTAGCGGGAGGGTTGGGAAGAGGCCAGCTTGCCTTCCTCTCCTGCCAGGACAAGGGCTGAGGGCGACGTGGACAGAACTGGCCTCCCTTGCCTGGCAGAGGGGGCGCCACCTGGGACATACCCAGCCTGCTCTGGGTTCCTGGCCGTCGTCCCCACACCCGTGTGAGCGGTGGACACGCAGGTCACAGCAGGGAGAAGGGCCAGGACATTGGCCCTTCGCTCTAGTTCAGTGGTCCTCAACCTTTCTGATGCCTCGACCCTTGAATACAGCTCCTCATGTTGTGGTGACCCCCAACCATAACATTACCTTCATTGCTACTTCCTAACTGTAACCTGTGTTTTCCGATGGTCTTAGGTGACCCTAGCGGTTCTCAACCTGTTGATTGAGCCAGGTTGAGAGCCCAAGACCGTCAGAAAACACAGATATTTACATTATGACTCATTAACAGTAGCAAAATGTCAGTTACGAAGTAGCAACGAAAATAATTTTATGGTTGGGGGTCACCACCACACGAGGAACTGTATCAAAGGGCCACGGCGTTAGGAAGATTGAGAACCACGGCTCTAGTTTATTGGCCAACAGCCAGAGATGTCGCTGACTTCCTGCAAAGACCAGTGTGTCCGGCTCTCTCAGCGCTGTCCCCACCCTGCTTCCCCTCTCCCAGCAACACTTCCTTTCATGCCGGTGGCCCGTGCAGGGGACAGTCCTGTCTGTCCTGCTTGCCCAAGACACCCGCCCCGTCACTGACGCTGCCTCCTGGTGTAAGAACAGCTGCTGTAACACGGCACCCCCTTTCGGTAACACAGCACCGATCTGCTCTTGCCCACGGACAGGTCAGTGTGGCATCGCCGGTCGGCAGGTAGTGTGGGCTCCCTGGCTCCTTCCAGGGCGGGCTCGGCCGCCTCTGAGGCCACAGCGTCCTCTGCAGAGAGAGCGTGGGAAACCCCGGTGCACCTCCGAGCAGCGCCGGCTGGAAGTAACATGCCTGCTTCTGCCCACACCCCACACCAGTGACAAGTCACCTGTGGATGTGAGGGGCTGGGAAATGAAGTCCGTGGCCGGGCCGGGGCCTCTGGTGGCAGGTAGCCACACAGCCTCACCCGGGTCTCTCTCAGTGTTTGCACACGGTCTGTCCTTCTCTTCACTTTGTCTCTCTCCATCTCGCCCTTGTCTGTGCTTCTGGCCATCACACAGGTCATTGCGGCAGAGTCCCCTCCACCGGAGTCCCCAGGTGGGCGCGGGTGCCCGAAGGAGTCATTTACGCCACCATCACCTTGGGTACTGCTTGTCCCCAGAGCTGGGATGCCAGCCACCCCACCATGCCTGCTGCCTGGCGCTCAGAGGCAGGGTGCATGCCCCTGGCCTGGCCCCTGCTCTGTCCCTGTCCTCCTGCGTGGGTCCGTCCTGCATGCCAGGTGCCATCCTTCCACAGACCCCTGTCTGTAGCATCGTCCGTGTGGCCGGGGGACTCGGTGATTCTTGGTCGTTCTGCCCTCTCCCCACGGACAGGTTACAGGGACAGTGGGGGCAGCCAGCATGAACGGGGATGGGGTTATCTGATCATCCTGCCTGCCGCCTGGTCACCCAGATAATTCCCCAGGGGACCCTGAAAGCTAAATGTCCGTTTTAAGAATAGCCTGTGCTTATGGTGGGCTGGGATGGCCCTTTAGGACAGTCGTCGGCAAACCGCGGCCCGAGAGCCACATGCGGCTCTCGGGCCCCTTGAGTGTGGCTCGGCATTAGAACCACTTCTTCCAAATAGGCTCGCCCAGGCCGAAAACCGACTTCCGCGCCACGAAGTTTCAATCAATCGCACTGTACCTGCGCGCCCGCACGTGGTATTTTGTGGAAGAGCCACGCTCAAGAGGCCAAAGAGCCGTATGTGGCTCTCGAGCCGCGGTTTGCCGACCACTGGCCTAGGTTAGGAGGAAATAAAACTTCCTCCTAAACTTTCTCCAAGCTGCTCCAAGTAGCTGGAGGTACTATGATACACTTTTTTCTCAATTCGCTTCCCTGTCCCTCCCCTCTCCCTACCCCCCCTTATCCCCAGAGGTGGACGGACAGGTGTTAGATTTCTCCCTGGAACATGTGGGGGGCAGCCCCCCAAAACACAGAGCAGCCGGGGAACTTGGCCAGTTTCTTCACACTGAACTCTGCAGCCCCCCCGCCTGGATTCTTGTGACCGCGGGAGTGTCCAGTGACCTCGCCATCAAACAGGTCATGGCGGCAGAATCCCCAATGTTCTTCTTACCTCACTCATGGCAATGCCGACAAGGAGGGCTTTTTCAAAACACAACCCCCCTCCTCCTACCAGCAGGTCCAGCCAACCACTGGGAACCCCCCCGTGGCCATCAGCGCTGGCCTGTTGGCGCGTACACTGTGGGCGAGCTTTCTCCTGCTGTCATAATCCCCGGGTTTATCGAGTTGCAGAACAGCCTGTCGTTTTCATCGACTGCACGTGCACGCATGCTCCTCAGTGGGTGAAATCCGACTTCCCCTTCTCCTCCTGCTGACTGTGAAATGGCTTGAATTGATATCTTAATGCATGTAACCTCCCACCTTCCTTCCTTTTTAAAAAAACAAACAAACAAAAAAAAAACACCACAAAACAACTAGTTTCCTTTAGGATAAGCTCCCAGGACTGGGAATTCTGGGTCAGAGGGTGTGGGTGTTTTTATGGCTCTTGAAACAACAGTCTGACAGGCTGCCCTCTGAGAGGCTTGGGTCGATGGACGTTGCCACCAGCCAGAGGCGAGGTTAGGGTCCCCCACTGACCCTGTTTTTTTTTGGTTTTTTTTAATATATTTTATTGATTTTGTACAGAGAGGGAGAGAGATAGCGAGTTAGAAACATCGACGAGAGAGAGTCATCGATCAGCTCCCTCTTGCACACCCCTTACTGGAGATGTGCCCACAACCAAGGTACATGCCCTTGACCGGAATCGAACCCGGGACCCTTCAGTCCCCAAGCCGATGCACTATCCATTGAGCCAAACCGGTCTCGGCCCCACCCTGTTTTTAATCCTTACTGTTAACAGGTGTAAAACCACGAACTGTGCAGCATCTGTGTTAGGCCTCGGAGGGGAGCAGTACCACACTGCTTTTATTTTTTATTTTTATTTTTTAATATGTTTTATTGATTTTTTTTACAGAGAGGAAGGGAGAGTTGGAGAGATGAGAGTTAGAAACATCAGTGAGAGAGAAACATCAACCAGCCGCCTCTTGCACACCCCCCACCGGGGATGTGCCCGCAACCAAGGTCCATGCCCTTGACCGGAATCAAACCTAGGACCCTTCAGTCTGCAGGCCGACGATCTATCCATGGAGCCAAACTGGTTTCGGCTACCACATTGCTTTGAAAGAAGACTGATGGGAAAATACTTAGAGTGTTATTTTTTAGAAAGAGTAACATAACCAAAAGCACGTGTTCATGGGTATTGTGGCCAGAATAACGATGGCATGGCGGTGGGCTCGTTCGTTTCCTCTAATAAAACTTAAATGTGGTCTGTGTTCTTGGTGTGTAGGAGCCTGGCTGTGCAGATACTAGGGGGGTTCCTGGGGGATGGGAGACGAGGGGCCCACGAGGTGTCTCTCATGGGAAGGAGGCTCCCCCATCCTGACTCAAGGACACGGAGCGTGTCTGTAGCCGTCACGGGGAAAGAAAGGAGACGAGGGGCCCGCTTCTGTTAGAGCTGCTCGGCAGTGGAAGCCATTGTAAGGTAGTGAGCTCCCTGTCCGCTGGGGAATTCAAGCAGAGGCTGGAGCAGCGTCAGGGTTGCAATAGGATTCCCGTGCTGAGCTAGGGGCTGGGCCAGGGATCCCGGTGGTCTCCGTGTTTTGTTTTTTTGGGGGGGTGTTCCTGATTGATTGATTTACTTCACCTAGCTTTCATCGGCCTCGAATAGCACAGCGAGGCTGGGAGAAGAGAGCGAATTTTGCAGAGTGGGGGGGTGGGGGTAGCAGCGGAGGGGTGTAGGGTGTGCCTAGATTTGGGTCCAGTTGGCGCTTGATGGGTTTGGGATCCTCTTGAACAGAAGGAAGATGTGAGGTTGGCTCGTTGACAGGGGGGAAGGGTATGAGCTGGGGATACGTAGGAGCAATGCTTGTGCCGGGCAGTGTTCAGTGGCAGGGAACAAGAATTCGGTCCGTGGAGGGTGAGGATGGGTTTTATTTTTTAAAGGTTATGAGTAGGAGGGGGCACTGAGGAATGGCTAGATGGCCCCTTCCCCAGAAAGCATCTCCTGCCACGCTTTATTCTGCCTTTTCGTTCCACATCGCCCCCCTGGATAGAACCAGGGACGGGGCAGGCAGCGGTCGGAGGCTTGCCATGTGCCCGGCTCTGGGCTCCGATGGCGACCCCTCCCTCCCGGGCACTTAGATGACAGAGTGCGGGTCAGGCAGGCGCCCAGCCCACAGATGAAGAGACAGAGGTCCCGAGTGGGGCGCTGGCTGTCTCCACAGCCAGGGGCCCATCTAGGGGCAGTGCCCCGTCAGGTTTCTCCGGAGTTCGAGATGGCAGGATGTGAGGGGGAAAGGGAAAGGCTTCTGGCTGTAAGTCATTTGTATATGAGGCCAGAGGTAGCAGCCAAGCCGCTTTGCTCAGTGGGATTGGGACGGGACACCGCTTGGTCTGTGGTTGGCAGCCGCCGGGGGGCTGGTTCAAGGGCAGAGGAGCGGTGGGAGGGTTGGGGCCCGGGGCCAGTGGCTGCTCCCACCTGCTGCCTGCTTCCCTCCCTCCTGAACAGACCGGCATGTTTGAGCATCCCCTGCCCTGCCCAGTGGCGGGGACTCGGGGATGTGACCTGGTGGGTGTGCCTTGCAGAGGACGGAGAGGCTGTGAGCAGCTCCTACGAGTCCTACGACGAGGAGGAAGGCAGCAAGGGCAAGTCGGCCCCGCACCAGTGGCCCTCCCCGGAGGCCAGCATCGAGCTGATGCGCGACGCCCGCATCTGCGCCTTCCTCTGGCGCAAGAAGTGGCTGGGCCAGTGGGCCAAGCAGCTCTGCGTCATCCGGGACACCAGGCTCCTGGTCAGTGGGCTCGGGTCGCGTTTGGGTCTCTCTCTTCGGGGGTTGCCGGGGGGTGGGGGGGTAATACCAGGTGGTCAGAACCCTTTCTGCCAGATGTTTACCTCTCCCTAACCTGACATTGCATGTAGAACGTGGCATGCGTACATGAAGGTTTGTTTTTAAAACATATTTTTATTGTTATCAGAGAGGGAGAAGGAGAGAGAAACATCAACGATGAGAGAGAGAGAATCGTCGATCGGCTGCCCCCTGCGCGCCCCACATTGGGGGTCGAGCCCACAACCCAGGCCTGTGCCCTGACCGGGAATCAAACTGTGACCTCCAGGTTCATAGGTTGAAGTTGAACCACTGGGCTGTGCTCTTTTTTGTTTGTTTGTTTTGTTTTTTATGCTTTATTACTGCCCTCCAAATAATTACACCTGGATCTGATCAAGCTTCTAAGAATGTACTTTTTCTGAACTAGAAGGTCTAATGGTTTTCATCAAACTCTCGAAGGGGAACTAAGATGACCACCCACATCCCATCCTCTCTCCTCCCCATTTTTCCCAGGGACCTTTCTGTTCCCTGGCCCGAGGGCCCATCCTTCCTGCCATCCGGGCCTCTGGGGGTTGTGGGTGGGGCCTGCTGCCCTGTCAGAGCGTTCTTCAAAATAGACTTGGCCAGGCCGGGGTATTTTGTGGAAGAGCCACACTCAAGGGGCCCAAGAGCTGCATGTGGCTTGAGAGCCGCTGTTTGCCGACCCCTGCCGGCTAGGGTACCTGGTCCTTCGGTATAATTAGGCAGAACCCAGGTGTCCATGGGTCCTGCCATGCCCGGCAGCCCCTTCCCTGCAGACCCCGGCGAGGCCTGGCCCCCTGGCAAGCAGCCCCTCATCTCTCTCCTCCCAGTGCTACAAGTCCTCCAAGGACCACAGTCCGCAGCTGGACGTGAGCCTGCTGGGCAGCAGCGTGGTCCACAAGGAGAAGCAGGTGCGGAAGAAGGAGCACAAGCTGAAGATCACGCCGATGAACGCCGACGTCATCGTGCTGGGCCTGCAGAGCAAGGACCAGGCGGAGCAGTGGCTCAGGGTGAGGGCCCTGCCGGTCTGGCTCCCCGGCGTTTCCCCACCAGGATGGGTGCTGTCCGGGGTAGCGGGTCTGTGACCCAGCGCCCGGGGCCCCTGCGTGCTGAGTGGCCGCCATCCGTCTAAAGGGACGTGGGTCGCAGTCTCGGCTGCGAGGCGGACATCCTTCTGGGCCGCCCGGATTGGGCTCTGGTCGAAATCCTCTTGTTTTCTGGCCCCAGGGAGGCATCGCCAGCCTCCTTAGCAAAGAACCGACACAGCTGCCCTTTGTAGTACATGCCAGGGGCCGTGCACTCGTAACAGGTTTAACCGCATGGCAGGGGGCCGGGCCATGCTAGCGGCCCCAGGTTGGAATGGAGGTTAGGGCTGAGGGAGGTCACCTGGCAGATGAGTGGCAGCATCTGGTTTCAAACCTAGAACCGTCTGACCACGGTCCTGCGTTCTGCCTGCACTCACCGCGACGTGGCCCCGAATTGCAGCCCCTGTGGGCCAGGTGCTGGGCGTGGGGTGCTTCCGTGTCCTGGGGAAATCATGCCTCTTCTCCCTCCCCTGTACCCACTCTCTCCTGACCTGGAGGGGCTCCAGCTTCCATCTGTGAGCTCAGGGTGGGCCAGGAGGACTTGGGGGGCCCGGGCTTCAGCTGAGGGCTGCCTCTCCCTCAGGTCATCCAGGAGGTGAGCGGCCTGCCTTCGGACGGCGCGGCTGAGGGAAACCAGTACTCCCCGGAGGCCCAGCGCCTGAGCGGTCAGAAGGTAAGACCTCCATTCCCTTTATCTCCGTAAAAATCAAAAGGATAAAATGGGAAACTTTGTTTCCACATTCAGCCTAATGAACAAGGCCTGGCTACGGGCTGTGGCTTCAGCGTGGCTGGGAAACTGGCCATGTGGACCGCCCTAAACTGCTTTCTTGCTTCACTGGTGAGCAGGGGGGGGAGCTCAGCTGGGACAGAGTTGCTCTGCCCACCTCTCCTCAGCAGCTCGGCTTGTCTCTCAAAGCTCTTTCTCCCCGCTGACCCCCCCCGCAGAGGTCCCTGGGGCTCATGTGCATGGAGCTGCGGAGCCCCCGCTGGAGGGTCAGAGTCGAGGAGGTTGCGCTGGTTGCTGACCAACGGGGAGGCCTCCCCCGGGAGTGACATTGCATGGCCCTGAGTACATGCAGGAAGGCGCCCCGCAGCCTGGGCGTGCACGGCGCAGGCAGAGGCTGCCTGGGTCTCATCGTGGGGACCCTAGCCCTGAACGGGAGGGAAGTCGAGGCCTGGAGCAGGGAGGAGGCACGGGCCCTTCGGAGGGACTGAAGAAGAGCTGTCGGGTGTCTCTCGTTCCTTGGTCATGGACAAGAATTAAAAGTAGGCACAGGTGTTCTTCGCGTTGGGGTGAGAAGTGAGCTCAGTCCCTGAAGACCGCAGAGTCCCCTGGGCCATATATCCGCCCTGGTCCGGCCCTGAGGCTGGGAGAACCAGGGGTTTATTTTGCAGAGTTTGGAGTAAGCGGTTCTAGAAGAAGCTTCATTGGAATGATCTAATGAGCTACTTCCCTTTTTTTCTTCTTTTTAAAAGTATATTTTCTTGATTTCAGAGAGGAAGGGAGAAGGAGAGATAGAAGCATCAATGACGAGAATCATTGTTTGGCTGCTGCCTCCTGCACACACACACACACACACACACACACACACACACACACCCCACTGGGGATTGAGCCCACAACCCAGGCACGCGCCCTGACTGGGAATTGAACTGTGACCTGGTTCAGCAGTCGACGCTCAACCCCTGAGCCATGCCGACCAAGCAAGATGCTTCCCATTCTAACAGCAGCAGCCACTCCACTCCTGTAGGGGCTGCCTCTAGCTCCCCAGCAGCCCCGGAATGCCTAGTGGGGTGCCATCTCTGTTTTACGAGTGTAGTGGGCTCCCAGGGCGCCCCCCTCCCTCAAGCTGGAGATGCACCAGCGGGATTCAGATCATGCTCTGGCTCGTGCAGGCATGCTGGCTCTCCTCCAGAGCCTGGTGTGTTGGTAGCAGTCAGTTCTCCCCTTTCTCACGCTCCTGGTGGTTCCTAGCTTGACATCAGCTTCAGCTGGGGACACCCTCTGTAATGCCACCTACTCCCCCCACCCCAGGGTCACTGTCATGGCAGGGCGAGCAGCCATGTGAACAAGGAAGGGACAGTTGCTCTGGGCCGGGGCAGGGCACCTCAGGGAGGGAGGGTGAGGGCAGGTAACCCAGAGGGCAGCCCAGCCAGTGCCTCACCAGGGGCCTGGACTCCAGGGTGACCCCTAGCTGACATCTGAGAGTATTGTTTTCTCTTACACTGCGGTCTCTGAGGTAACCACGCCCAGACAGGATGCCCACGTGTCTCTCTTCCTTCCCCAGGCAGATATAGCTGAGAAGTACCTGTCCGCCTCGGAGTACGGGAGCTCTGTGGATGGCCACCCTGAGGTCCCCGAGACCAAAGATGGTACCCATGCTTGCGGCTTTCAGCCCAGGGCGGGGAGGGGGTGGCCCCCAGGCTGTGTGACTCAACCCTAACGCGCTTTACCGGCTACTTCCAACACGCCTGCCCTGTATAAACTGCTGGGAAGTCCTGCAGCTGACAGATCCGGGGAAAGGGCACATTGAAGTTTCAGGACCTGCCGGGGGTAGAATGTTCTCTCATCCTCTTTGTGGGTCACCCCGTTCTAAGGGTCTCTGAGCTCACGCCGCCCGTCTGCAGATTCCCGGGTGCTGACGCATTCCATGAAAGAAGCTGGGGTGCCCCTCTTGAGTGTGCCAGTCTCCAGCCACCTGGCTCTGGGCTGTGGGCCTTGGTGTGGGGAGCAGGGGTCTGTATGTGTGTGCATGTGTGCACACACGTGTGCAGGGAGGGGCGGGTGTGGTGGGGAGGGCCTTCTGTATCTCCCACCTGCTCTAGGGCCTGGGCCTCCGCCGTGTGCGACGCTGACGGCTCTCTCTCCCCTCCGGACAGTGAGGAAGAAGTGTTCCGCGGGCCTCAGGCTGAGCAACCTGATGAACCTGGGCAGGAAGAAGTCCACCTCGCTGGAGCCGGCAGACAGGTCCCTGGAGACGGCCAGTAAGCAGCGCCGCCACCCCTCTGGGCTGCAGCCTGTCCCCTGGAAGGCAGCTCCGACGGAGGAGGCAGGGGGTGTAGGTCTCGCTTCAGACGTGTCTTAGGGATGTGGAGCCGCAGCCCAGCTCCTGTCTGTCTGCTCTGTCTGCAGGTAGTTCTTGACTTCATGTCTAGCCAAGACCCGCGCTGCAGTGCTGGGTCTTTTGCGGAAGCGAAGGGTAACGGATCGCTGTCCTCCTAATGGTTTGATCGGTACTTGAGCTGGGCAGGTGCGGTGTTATGGAAAGGGAACCAGGCAGATGAAGGACACAGTCCTGAGAGCTTATAGCTTGAGAGAGAGGACAGCTTTGCCCCTCCCCCCCGCCCTTACATAGCTGCTGGCTGAGCAGCTACCAGGACCCAGGGACAGAAAGAACCTTTCCCGCTCTGGACGGAGATGGACTCCGCAACCGGGGTCTTGAACGGGCAGGAGCTACGTAGGCTCGGAGGTGCCCGGGGTGGGAGCCCAGATGGAGGCGCAGCCTGGTGAGACGCATTCAGGGGCCGGGTCGGCCAAAGCCCATGTCGCTGGGACAGAGGTGTGTATGGGAGCTGGAAGACTCTTAGAGGACTCATTTCCACTGCCCTTTCTCAGCCAGCGGAAACAGGTCAGGGGAGAGAGACCTTTCCCGGAATGTATCTTGAGTGAGCCTCGCCCTGGTGATCCACCCGGGCTCATTGCTATAGGTCTCCCGGGCCCTGAAGGCCATCCCTGTCCATCTTCGGGCCCTTTCCTCTTACTCCTGGGACCCATGTCCCAGCCCCAGGCCCACTTTGTCTGTGTCTGAGGCTGGCCGGGTGGCCGAGGTGGAATGGGGAGGCAGCAGAGGGGCCTCACCTGTGGAGCCTGCCGCATCTCCTTCCAGGGCACCCCGAGGCCTCAGGCCACGGTGTTGGGCCCAGGAGCCTGGTCCCCGTGAGTCGTTTTGGGAGATGTGGCGGGGTCACTGCTGGAAGTTGTTCAGCCGCAAAACCTGCCCCCGTCCCCAGTGGCTGGGGAAGGCCGAGAGAGCACAGACGCTCTCCTCCCCAGGGCTGGGCTGGACCTAGTGTGGTCCAAGGTGCGGCTCCCTTCCCTCTGGACAGGCCTTTCCCCAAAGCCGGCAGCGCTCTGTGCTTGCCTTGAAAGGGTCTCGCTGCTAGCATGCAGGAGGGAAGGAGCACACACACGGAAGAGACCCCCGGCCTCTGGGAGTTATGAGAGATGCTCAGGCACTGCCTGATGAGTCTTGGAGCTGAGACTCTGGGGGGAACCCTGGGGGGCCCGGAGGAGGGGGCAGCCACCCCCAGCTTCCCGCAGCCGCCGCCGCCGCCTCTCCTGCAGATTACCTGAACGTGCTGGTGAACAGCCAGTGGAAGTCACGCTGGTGCTCCGTGCGGGACAGCCACCTGCACTTCTACCAGGACCGGAACCGCAGCAAGGTGGCCCAGCAGCCCCTGAGCCTCCTGGGCTGCGAGGTGGTCCCGGACCCGAGCCCGGACCACCTGTACTCCTTCCGCATCCTCCACAACGGCGAGGAGCTGGCCAAGCTTGAGGTACTGCTGGCCCCGGGGCGGTGGCGGTCGGCTCTGTGCTGCAAGCCATGGAGAGCCATGTAGTCCTGGGTGGTTTTGGTTTCCTTTGCGTGAGATTGTTTGCATTTTTTCCCCCCAAAATTTCCATTCCCTTTCTGACCTCAGGGTGGCTGTGTTCTAGGAGCGCAGACAATGAGCTGCTTCCTGCCCCGGGGGCCGGAGGGGAGTTTATAACTCCCGGGGCCCCGGGGGGGACCTTCTGGGGACTCACAGTGGGTTTGGTGCAGTGTGTGTGGCACCAGACGCAGCCCGGTCCATAAACAGGACGCCTGTTAGGGCTTATCTGGGGGCAGACATCGGACTGGCTGGAGGTACAATTGCCTTTCTGCCACTCCCCACCCTGTGGGACGTGATGTCACACGGACAGGAATAAAAGCTGACCTAATGCCTTGCATTGAGCTCGGCGGGTCCCAGCCAGGGTTCTTCCTTCACACACACAGCAGCAGCACACGCTGCCCGGTTCGCCCCTGTTCACCTAGCCCCGTGGTCGGCAAACCGCGGCTCATGAGCCCCATGCGGCTTTGTGGCCCCTTGAGTGTGGCTCTTCCACAAAATACCTCGGCCTGGGTGAGTCTATTTCGAAGGAGTGGCGGTCGAAGTTGTTTAAAAAAAAAAAAAATGTGGCTCTCAGAAGAAATTTCAATCGTCGTCCTGTTGATATTTGGCTCTGTTGACGTAATGAGTTTACTGACCACTGGCCTAGTCCCTTAGCCTGGCTTCATCCGACTTTTGCTTCAGTACTGCCCTCTGGTGGCTAAAAGATCCACATCTCAGTTGCTTCTCGAGGACAAGTTTATAATAATCTATCCTGTCAACAAGGATGATAACATGTGGCCAAGACTGATATGATCCCTGTGCTCGTGGAACGTACATTCTATTACGAGATGTTCTCCAGTTAATTACCCCATTGATTCCTCAGGCGAAGTCTTCCGAGGAGATGGGCCACTGGCTCGGCCTCCTGCTCTCCGAATCGGGCTCCAAGACAGACCCAGAGGAGTTCACCTACGACTACGTGGACGCAGACAGGGTGTCCTGTATCGTGAGTGCGGCCAGGAACTCCCTGCTGTGAGTATGACGGGTCTCCTGCTTTGTGCCCTTTCCCTCGGAGTCATGCTTCCAACTCAGGCCCACGTTGGCCTCTCGTGGCCAGTTGTACCGGTGGGTAGCCGAGAACTGGGAGTGGGCCCTGTTCCACCCAGGGGCAGGGGCCGGGCTGGACCCCAGCAGCCGCAGCACCTGGGCTGGGAGAGACCATCCAGGTCCTCACAGCTGAGTCGGCATGTTCCCTGACCCTCCGCTTCCCTCACTGTTGGTCTGGGGCTTTCCCGAGGATCCCCCTCCGAGGCCCTGGGGCCCCAGCGCCCCCCGGAATGAGCAGGGCGGAGGTGGAGCTTCTGCTTTCCAGCTGAGCACATGGGCTCCTGGCTGGGTGGCTGAGGAGCCACCAGGACACGGAACCCCTTTCTTACGTACAAAACGGGGAAAGTCTCCGGTTGTTGACAGTGAAACGAGAAGGGGTTTTGTTGTTACTGGAGATTCTAAATGAGGTCAGAAGATGGCTAAAGGATGCCATGAGGAGGGGGCGGGGGAAAGGGATGCTTTTCTGGAAGAGAAGCTTGGGACCCAGAGTTCTATAGGGAGGGGCTCCGCTTGAAGGAATGAGTGCTACATGAGACCGGAGCCGGTCTCGTTATGAACTCTCTGATGCTGGTGGCTTTTACCCCCTCCTCCCCCATCTCGAACCCTCCTCTCTGAGTCTTGAATCCTCTCCGAGTCTTGCCATGTGTCCTCCAGATTGATGCAGAGGAAGTTCTCGGAGCCCAACACGTACATCGACGGCCTGCCCGGCCAGGACCGCCCGGACCTGCTGTATGACGACGTGGAGATGTCCGAGCTGACGGCCGCGGTAAGGACGCGGGGTGGCCGCAGGCGGGGGCGGGCAGTCCAGGCCTCCTGCCCCCAAACCTCGATCCCATTGGCCATACAAGGAGTGGACTCCACGTCACCTGCAGGGCCACCAGGACAGAAATCTAGACGCAACCAGGCCGTATTCTGTCCTGGGGCGGGCAGTCCGCCTGGCATGGGGATGTGTCTGGTTGACCACCCCAGGCAGTGCTAGGACGAGCTGTGCTGCTGGGATTGGGAGCCGTGTCCGCATCAGCCTTTGGGGTCCAGCCTGACAATGAAGGTGGAATGACCGCATGAGCAGGAGGTTCCCGTGGTCAGGCATTAGGCTGTGCTGTGCTAAGGGCTGCTTCAGCAGATCTCGTTTTACCCAAACCACCTGCAAGGCCGGTACCATTCATTATTCTCTCCTCTTAATGAAGGTCAGGAAAGCTCCTACTATGTTCTAGGTCTCCCACCTCTTTTTTTTTTTTTAAATATATTTTATTGATTTTTTACAGAGAGGAAGAGACAGGGATAGAGAGTTAGAAACATCGATGAGAGAGAATCATCGATCAGCTGCCTCTTGCACACCTCCTACATGCCCTTGACTGGAATCGAACCTGGGACCTTTCGGTCCACAGGCTGACGCTCTCTCCACTGAGCCAAACTGGTTTTGGCTCCCACCTGTTGAGTGGCTGGCTGATCCAGAGCTTCAATCCTGACCTTCTAAAACTCCACATCCATAGAGGCTTCCCCGGGGGAAGGTCCCTGCGCACCCCACACGGGAGGGGGCAGGGGCTCTGAGACAGGACGGGCGCCCCCTCTCCAGCCCCGGCTGTGGAAGCCACGGGGAAAGCTGCCCGCCTCTCCCCTGCAGGCAGACCCCGAGGAAGCCGCCCCGGCCGCGGATGCTCCGAGCGAGCTCGACCCTGACCGCATGTACCTGGACCTCACGCCGGTCAAGTCCTTCCTGCACAGCCCGGGCGGCCCCCAGGCCCGAGGGTGCTCCCCCACACCGCCCTGCCTGGACCCTCCGGCCGACGCCCTCCCTGCAGACCCGGGCCCCGCCCCAGCGGAGTCCCCCGTCGTGACATCCGCAGAGACCCCCGAGTTGCAGGTACAGGCTGTCCCCCAGCGGGTGGGCTGGCCCTCCCTTCCCAGGCCCCTCAGCCGGCTGAGTGCTGCTCGCTTTCTCCAAAAGCAGGGGCAGCCGGGGAGCCCGGAGCCGGAGGAGCCGTCCCCCAGAATCTCCACGGTCAGAATCCAGGCCGAACAGCAAAAGCTCTCCTTCCCTCCGAGCAGCCCCGACGCTGTGGCTGTCGCCCCGGCTGGGGCCGGCGCGCCTGCGAAGGACAGGCTGAGAGTGACCTCTGCAGGTACCTGTGCGGGATGCGCGGTGCATGTCTTCCAAACGGCTCAGAGGCGTCAGCCCCGTCCATTCCCTTTGCTCGGAGGGCACAGAGGGTCAGCGAGGAGGAGGGAGTCGCCCCGGGCCATGCAGTGGAGAAGGTGTGGTGCCCAGTGCCTCTCCCGGCCCTGCTACGCCGGCCTGGCACCCAGCTCTGATCTCCTGTCAAAGCCTCCGTTTCCCCCCCCTGAGCCTGTGTGATGGGGTTGGCCATCGCCCCCCAGGGTCCAGCCTGGCTGACCGCGGGGCTCCCTCTCCGGGTCTGTAGAGATCAAACTGGGCAAGAACAGGACGGAAGCTGAGGTGAAGCGGTACACGGAGGAGAAGGAGAGGCTGGAGAAGAAGAAGGAAGAGATCCGGGGGCACCTGGCTCAGCTCCGGAAGGAGAAGCGGGAGCTGAGGGAGGCCCTGTCGAAATGCACAGGTGAGGGCCCGGCAGGGCGCGTGAAGGCTGGGGCTTCCCGCGGGGCGAGCCCGGCCCACAGCCCTGCCCCAGGGCATGTTAACCCCCACCATCCTCTCTGGAAGGCCGCTGCCCTGGGCAGAGAGACACCTCTGACCCACTGTCCATAGGACCAGGAGGCCGTCCTAAAAGCTAGCTCAAAGAAGACATCCTCACACATTTTATTTTCCCTTCAACCAAATGGACACACGCAGGCCCATGTTTCCATGCGCTGCCTTTAACAGAGATCCCAGGTCATCATTCTTGCACGGACCATATGCGTCATCCTTAATTCCCAGACTTCAAAGACCGAGGACACGTGCAGAGAAATCCACATCCCTCTGGATCAGTGGTTCTCAACCTTCCTGATGCCTCGACCCTTAATTACAGTTCATGTTGCGGTGACCCCCAACCATAAAATTATTTTCGCTGCTACTTCCTAACTGTCATTTTGCTAGCAGCGAAAATAATTTTATGGTTGGGGGTCACCGCAACAAGAGGAACTGTATTAAAGGGTAGCGGCATTAGGAAGGCATTAGAAAGACCAACGCTCTAGATTCTTTTCCAGATCATCCTCATCTGACCCGTTTCCTAGCAACCTGCCCTTGAGAGGCCCCGCCCCGGTCCTGGCGGAAACGCCTCTCCCTGCAGCCGGCCTCCTTCCCTTTCCAGACAAGGGCGCGCTGGCCAGCCTGGAGCAGAAGCTGAAGGAGATCGACGAGGAGTGCCGGGAGGAGGAGAGGCGGCGTGTGGACCTGGAGCTCAGCATCGTGGAGGTGAAGGACAACCTGAAGAAGGCCGAGGCCGGGCCCGTGACGCTGGGCACCACCGTGGACACCTCCCACCTGGAGGCCTTGAGCCCCCGAGTGAGTGGCAGGGCCGCCTGGACTGGGGGTGGGGGGTGAGCGGTGGGGGGCTGAGGTCTCCATCCCCCCGGCTCAGGCGTCACTCTGTTGTCACCACAGCCCAAAGCCGCCGCCCCCGCCCCTGCCCCAGACTCTACCCCAGTCAACTCTGCCACGGCGCTCAAGAACAGACCTCTCTCCGTCATGGTCACGGGCAAAGGCACCGTCCTCCAGAAAGCCAAGGTAAGCAGTCACTCCCGGCCCTCTCCAGGGCCCTAGGGGCTTCGCTAGACCTGGGCTCAGCCTGGGGCACTGACCTCCCAGGATGGACCTTATCAATCAGCCCGAGGACAGTCAGAGCCAGGAACCACCCGATTAGCCACAGACAGACTGCACGTGGCCAGTTTTCAAATCAAAAAGCCAGTGATTCTATAAAGGACTGCTGCCGTGGCAGCTTACGCAGCAGATCCAGACGGGTGATGTGATTTGCCTAAAGCTGTGGTTGGCAAACTGCGGCTCCCGAGCCACATGCAGCTCTTTGGCCCCTTGAGTGTGGCTCTTCCACAAAATACCATGGCCTGGGCGAGTCTATGTTGAAGAAGTGGCGTTAGAAGAAGTTTAAGCTTAAAAAATGTAGCTCTCCAAAGACATTTCAATCGTTGTCCTGTTGCTATTTGGCTCTGTTGGCTAAGGAGTTGGCCGATCACCGGCCTAAGGCCTCCAGCCACCAGGTGTCAAAGGCCTGGGAGGTGTCTGCTCATCCCTGATGGCCAGACACAGTGTGTCAGTCCTTCCCTCGTGTCCCGTGCCCAGAGTTGCCCGTGCATTTGGCAAACTCCACGTACCTGCACCCATGGCCACTGCATGCATCAGAGCTGCCGCCATGTGGCCATGGCAGACATCACAGACCCCTTACTGTGCCACACCCTCTCACGTCCCTTAAGGAGGTGCCCACACAGGGTTTGAAACGCAGCTGCTGCCTCTCTTCCTAACTGTCTCTGTGCACAGGGGTGGGGGTGGCCGCAGAGCACAGCTAACTTGCCTGTTTTGGGGGTGCTGGTATTCGAATGGCGCCCTAGGAATGGGAGAAGAAAGGGACCAGCTAGGACACGCGCGTCACAGCCAGCCTCTCCTGCCCACGTGGACCTTGGCGACAACCCTGTTTCATCCGGGCCTTCCCTAAAGCAACGGCTCTGGGAGCGGGTGAGTCTGTGTAAGAGGAAGAACAAGGATGGGGGGCCGCGGACGGAGCCGAGAGGAGACGCGGGCCCTGCGTAGAGGAAGGACCTGGCAGGGCCGGAGAGCGAGCTGTGACTTCAGCATCGACGGCACGGGAACGGAGCAGGGAATATTTGGGACCAAGCAGAGGCACTGTCCCCACTCAAGTAAGGACTTTTTTTTTAAAGTGACGCCGCTGTATGATATTTTTTAAAAATGTTTCCAATCCTGTCATTTTAGAACAAGTGAAGTGTCTTTTGAGATTTAACTGACTTTCGACGTTATTCTAGAAAAAAGAGATTCCTTTGTGTTTACAGAGTCTGTCCTGTGGCCATGGTTAAGAGTTATTTAATAGAATGCTCTCGTCGCCCCGGGGTTTTTTTTGTTTTTTTTTTTTTAAATTGTGCTTTATGTCCGGGCCCCCTTCCAAGATGAAAGGGGTGGGGCCCCGACTTCTCCTCCGACGGCATTGTTTGCTGACGCAGGTTGAAACATTTCATCCGTCATCTCCGCCTCCCTTCCTGGGGTTCTTGGAACTCAAGTTCTTCCTAACCCGGGGCGTTTATTTCCTTTGCCAAGTGGCGAGTTAGATTTTTCTAAAAAAATAAAATGTTAATTGCATTTTTTGGAGGTTTCTTGTATTTCATGGAAGGAGTTGGCCTGTTGGACTTGTATCTCAAGGGGGTTATTTACACGCTGAACTTCAAAAATATCTGAGTAAAACCAAGGGCTTTACAAGGTGCCATCTTAGTAGGTGATGCTGTGCCTCCTTGACTCCAGGAGCACAGATGTAAGACGGAGAGGGTTTCCAGAGTATAATTAACCACGTGCCACATTCACCAGAAACATCTGCAGGAACTGACTACTTCTGGAAGTTAAACACATTCCTAAATCATTCTTCGGGGAAAGGAACCGGCACTTAGAGAGCTGCCTAAGTATTATAGTAAGTGAAGGAAGTCCCTAGCATAAATGTGCTTATTTTATAAATAACGAAATTTGCCAATCTTTTTACACAGGACCACATTTTTCATGTGTGTCCAAAAATAAGATTCATTTTTCTTTTGCCCATGTGTGTTGGATGTTTTGGTTTCGGAGTTATGCTAAGGGCATACAGTGGAAAATACATACTCCCCAGACTGCTCTGCTCATAGCGTTTTCTTGTGATTCAAGAAAATCTCGTCAGTATGTGTACGTCAGGCTCTCCTCCTAGTTCTGCCTTCAACATCACCTCAGGTGGCCAGGGTTTGGCTTTGTCATCTTTAAAATAAGCACATTCATGACCGGATGGCGTTGATTCAGAGCCAAAGTGGTTCAACCACTGAAAATGCACCGATCGGTAAGTTATTGTAGTTACAGATGAAATGTGTGTGTGTGGGGGGGGACACACACATCTGGAAGGGAGCAGAAAAGCATATCACCAGTCTCAACACTCCTAAACGTTCTCTGTAATCTAGGAATGAAAGCATTCCTGCCCACAAAAATAACATCTAACGGTGAAAAAGCAGCAGATACGTGCCATGGCCACTACCTTTTAAAAACATTATTCTAGGTGATGCAAAATGACAAGAAAAAAATCAATATAAAACTCCCAAAGGAAGAGACAAAACAGTCATCATTTTGTAAGTGACATTTTTCTAGAAAAGCAAAGAGCACCGTGAACTAACTGCTAGAATACATGTGTTTGGGTCAGTTGGCCGGAATGAGGATCACTCAGAGAACATGCAAGATTTATGGCTTACTGCAGTGCTTCGATTTTACAAGAACATGACAGGCTTGGCCGGTCAGGCAGTAAGAAGGGCATGCCCTCCATTGCTGCTGGGACCCAAAACGAGAAGCAGTGACCCCTTTAATATGCAATCCACAATTTAAGGGGGCTTTTTAGGGTCCAAGCAATTCACATGGGACATCCCAACAGCCTTGAACCAGACAAAGAACCCATGCTGTACCCTTTAATACAGTTCCTCATGGGGTGGTGACTCCCAGCCATAAAATTATTTTCGTTACTACTTCCTAACTGTCATTTTGCTACTGTTAATAAATTATAATGTAAATATCTGCGTTTTATGGTTGGGGGTCACCACCACATGAGGGACTGTATCAAAGGGTCGCGCCATTAGGAAGGTTGAGAACCACGGCTCTAAAGTGACAAAACCGCTGAGAATTTTCAAGACAACAGATTCTTTTAAGTTTCTCCAGCATCGGTCCCTGCTAGGTAGACCCGTGGCCTCGCTCTGTCACCTTCCTCCAAGGCCAGCATAATGACTGGGCCGAAAATATCCTGAACACAAACAACTATCGCAATAGCCTGGGCACCCCTGGCTTTTTATTTCTGCCGTCTGACAGCGCCAAGGCGGTAACCAGGGTGGAGGTAACCAGGAAGCTCAGTGGCATTTAAGTCGAGATAGCCGTGATCCTTGGTAGAGAGAGCATTGCGTTATCGAGAGCAAAGAGAAAAGCCCCAATCAAGAGTCTGGACTGCGGCGAGGGCTCTGCAACCATTTCCCCTGAAAACTGAACTCAAAGCAACACAGCCACAGCCGATGAGGGAACCGGTGCCTGAACAGGCCGGGTGAGGAGCGCCTGGTTCACCGGAAAATGTGTCATACCCGATACAAACACGTCCGTGAAGAACCAACCTCGTTTCTTAAAACCCTTTAAAAACTACACAGGAAAAAGCAAAACCGTTCTAGGTTCTTTATTCTCTATGAGTGGAGATTAAGAATTTCATTGCTCTTTGCACCCCCGCTCTAAAAGGACAGGAAGAAAAGCACTCAGTAAACACCCCACGGTTAACACCCCCTCCAAGAAGCTCTAAAGAAGGACGCGGCCCCCCAGGGCTGTTTGCACTCTCAGCCAACCCAGCTGGTTAGTCCATCACGGGTCCAGTCTGGGCCTTTTCCCCGTCTCTCCCCCCACACAGAGCCAGTCACCAGAGGTCACAAATGCCGCTCAAGCCCCTTTTCAAACAAACACCACGAACGCACCGAGGACGTCTTTGGGGAAAGAAAAAGTTCTGCACTTGCTCCACCTCAAATTGCCATCGCTTCGGTGGTCCGAATGACACGATAGTCACTGCCTCCTTGTGGGCATCGCTGTCCCAACACTGGCCATCAAAGTGTCCAGGCACCTCTGTGTCTCCTCAGGGGAAAGGGACAGATGACAAGCTCCACAGGGCACAGCTAGAAAGAAAATATTGACTTACACGTCCAGAGTTTCCAACACCATCATTGGGGAGTGAAATCAGCTGCAACTCGGTCTCTGCTCCTGGGCGAGGAAGGCGGGCAGGTGGGCTCCGGACAGAGCTGGAGGCAGGCGCTCGGGGGACTCCCAAGAGGATGCTCCACTGAGGGCCGGCGCCCCCTCAGCGTCCAGGGTGCCCAGGCCTCCGGAGTGGCTGGGACGGGCTGGGCGGCCGCCCTCCTGTCCTGAGGGCATCTCCTCGCAAGGCCCCTGCGAAGAAGCAAACGGTGAGGACGTGAGTGTCCGTCCTCACCCTGCCAGCAGCCGTGTGGGCCCCCGCCTGTCTTGGCTGTGGGTTAAGAACAAGCAGAAGATGCCAGACCAGAGGCCCTATCTGAGGGCCCTTCAGAGTCACTGCCCACCTGGGGAAGCCCACCTCTGCCAGTGGCCGAGACCCCCAGGGGAACTGCCTTTGGTTCTAACTTTAAAATCCTAACAGGAGCCCCAGGTGGGCCCGCAATGCTGCCCAGCAGCCCTCCTCTAGGACCTTAGTCTGGTCCCCTTTCTCTCAGATGGCTACTTCTCTCTCCGCCAACCTCCTGCACCTCCTCCTCTCCATCCTCACGCTCAGCTGATTCCTCCCACTTCACTGAGCAAGTAGAAATGCTCAAAAAAGAACTCCCAGCCCTAACCGGTTTGGCTCAGTGGCTAGAGCGTCGGCCTGCGGACTGAACGGTCCCAGGTTCGATTCCGGTCAAGGGCATGTACCTTGGTTGCGGGCACATCCCCAGGAAGGGGTGTGCAGGAGGCAGTTGATTGTTGTTTCTCTCTCTTTGATGTTTCTAACTCTCTCTCTCTCTTCCTCTCTGTAAAGAAAGTCAATAAAATATATTAAAAAACAAAACAAAACAAAACAAAAAAAACTCCCACCAGCTTCCACCGCATCCACCCACCTTCCTGCATTGGGGTCCTCGTCTCTCAGTCACTCTGGATCCACGGGGCTCCTGACCGAGGCCTCCCTCCCAGTCCCGTGACTTCGTTGTGCTTATTTCCTGTCTGCCTCCCTCCGCACATGGAGGCTCCCTCAAGATCAGACATTCTCCCTGTCCATGTCCCCCCACCCAGAACGATGCCGGGGACCCAGGAGGTCCCGGCTACTTGCTTCTTGCGCGAATGAACAGAGGATGCTAGGATCCCTTCCGCGGAGCCAGCACCCTGGAGCCTGCCTTCAGCAGAGTCCCCAGGGCTCGGCGGGTCTCGGAACACCGCCCCCAGCTGGCCCACGCGGGCGGGGCCCGGGCCACTCACGGCTCTCGCAGTGCGGGCCCTCCCAGCCGTCCCGGCAGGCGCAGAGGTAGCTCCGGCTCCGCAGGACGCAGGTGCCCTCGTGCATGCACGGGCTGGGTTTGCAGAGGTTCACGGGCCGGCTGGCTTCTGCAGGAAAGCACGGGCCCAGGAGGCCCAGCCCGGGTCAGCCCCGAAGACCCCTCCTCTAGGGAAGCCCAGAGCCGCTGCGAGGCCTCTCGGGGAGCGTCTCACAGGCCTTAGTGCTGACACGGGCCTGGGAGCCACAGGGGAGCACGTGGTGGGTGCTCCCCACTGCGTGGCTAGCTCAGAGACCACCCTCCACCCAGCCCTCCCACAAGCGTACGGGGACTTTTTCTTGGAGGTGTGAGGCTCCCAGCACCGCTTACTGTTCTCACAACGGCCGCATACTTTTAAAAAGGCGGGAGGGATGGCCTGGTCGGGTTACTTAGTGGTTAAGCATCAACCCATGAACCCAGAAGTCACTGGTTCGATTCCTGGGCAGGGCACATGCCCGGGCTGCGGGCTCTATCCCCAGGATGGGGCATGCAGGAGGCAGCCGATCAATGATGTTTCTCTCTATCCCTCTCCCTTCGGCTCTCTCTCCCTAAAAACCAATCAGTAAATTTAAAGAAGGCGGGAAGGATGTCACTGGCAAAAGGAAGCCTTTGAGTCAGGCTGGCCTGGCTGTTACACCCCCCCCCCCCCCCCCCCCCCGCTCTGGCATTCACAACGAAGGTCAGTGCCAACCTCAGGGGATCTCTGGGTCTAGCAACATCTTCTGTTTAAGTGGTGTGGATATGCCGAAACCGGTGTGGCTCGGTGGATAGAGCATTGGCCTGCGGACTGAAAGGTCCCAGGTTCGATTCCGGTCAAGGGCATGTACCTTGGTTGCGGGCACATCCCCAGTGGGGAGTGTGCAGGAGGCAGCTGGTCGATGATTCTCATCAATGTTTCTAACTATCCCTCTCTCTTCCTCTCTGTAAAAAATCAATAAAATATATTTTAAAAATAAATAAAGAATAAATGGCGTGGATACACTCTCAGGTTTGGGGTGGGGTATCTGTTTAACTTCCTGTACCCTGAATATCAAAAGAGGGTGGTGTGCCTGCCACAGGACTTAGCACGGACTTAGCATGGAACCCGGCACTTGGGAAGCGCCCAGAGCCAGGAGGAGCCGTGATCCTTGTGAGATGCCCCAGGAGGGTCAGGCCGAGGTGCCACCCTTGGAGGCCACTCACCCTCGCAGAGCCACTGGATGAGCGCGTCCCGGTGGAACCGCAGGTCGGTGTAGGCCGCCGCGTGGATCAGGGCGTCACGGGGGCCCGCGAGCCTGCGCAGCGCCTCGCTCAGGACGGGCCCCACGCCCACCACCAGCACCGAGACGCCGTTGTCCCTGAGCTTCTGGGCGGGCACGGCGGCGTCCTCCACCCCTCGGCCCCCCGTGAGCACCACCACGGCTTTGGGGACGCCGGGCCGGGCGCCCCCCTGGACGGTCATCACCCGGTCGTGGACGTGCAGCAAAGCTGTGCCCGCCGAGCCCGCCCCGCCCAGGTAGGGGGCCTGGCTGGTGGCCCGCAGCACGGCGGGGCGGGTGGCGTGGCTGTCCAGCCCGAAGGCCGTCCGGACCCGGCCGCCGTACACCACCAGGCCGATCTGCGTCACGTCGGGGTTCACGTGGAACTGGAGGGTGCAGCTCCTCACGAAGCTCTGCATCCGGGCGAAGTTCTCGGGCCCCACGGAGGCCGAGGCATCCAGCAAGAAGACCAGGTCCAGCGACTGTGCCCGGCAGCCTGCGGAGGAAGCGGGAGAGCCTCAGGGGGCAGGTCTGCCAGGCGGGCCCCCCTCGGCTAGAATAGACAGCTCATGGGGGCGCCTGGCTAGGCCTCATTCCTGGCAGCTCCGTGTGGTGTGGTGTCTAAGTGCTAGCTGATGGGATATGGTTGGAAGACAGTGTGCCATTTCCAAGTGACACCCTCAGAAGGAAGCTGCTTGCCTTCCCCTCCCCTTCCCCCTGAGAAACAGTGACCTGGGACCTGGAGGCAGAACCACAGGGCTGCCAAGCCGCCTTGCTGGTTCAGGCTGCTCACCCTGGAATGGTTACGAGAGAAGTAAAGGTCTATCCTGTGTAAGCCGCTGAGCTCTGGGGACCCTTTGTGGCAGCATCTTCATGCAAGGATGTGTCTCAGCTGCCACCCCTCCCCACGGGCCAAGGCCCGCCTCCGATGGGAATGTCTGCTCCACGGGGGCAGTGATCTCCAGAGCAGCGGTCGCCAGCCCTTCGGACCTCATGGACCACCGGGGGTCCGCTGGTTGGCAACCGCTGCTCCAGGGCACACCCAACGGTGGGCCACAAATTCCACTGAGTAGGTTGTGCAGCTCAACAGGAAATTCTAGAACATTCTTCAGGTAGCTAGGGCATCATTCCATGAACTGCCTGTTTCCAGTTGTGCACATGCATGCTCGTACGTGGTGGGAATATACTGTGGGCTCCCATCTAGGAAGCTGGAGAGCTGCCCTTCCAAGCATCTCGGGAGATCGGAGCTCCACGTTGATAACAATAAATGCGTATTAATCAATAGCAACAACCGAGATGCTCTGCGTGCATACTCTGTGCACGCTGCTTGTCTTGCTTAAACCTCCCAAAAGCCCACCAGGAGGTGCTATTATTGGTCCCACATTACTGAAAGTGGCCCCAGGCCCTAGACACGAGCTTTGGCTCAGTGGTAGCAGCAGAAGGAAGGGCCACCACTGCCCACACCGGCCCTGGGTCCAGCCCAGGCTGCTCTGGGCACAGGCACCTGGGTCTCACCTGGCGGCGGCCGGCTGCACAGCTTCTCCTGCAGCGCCGGGATCTGGTTGAACAGATCCTGCCGGTCGGCGTAGACCATGACGTGCTCAGGGCTGCCCGTGATCTCCTCCAGCTCTGCCCGCACGGCCTCGCTGCCCAGGCCCAGCAGCAGCAGCAGCTCCCGGGCCCTCGCGTGGCGCGCCGGCCCGGCCACCTCGTCCTCGGAGGGCGACTCGGTGAGCAGCACCACCACCCGGCGGGGCCGGTCCAGGCCGGTCCTGGTGCTCCCGAAGCCGCGCTCCGCCGCCTGCCGCAGGGCCCTGCCCGTCAGCGTGGCGCCGCCGCCAAAGGGGATGGCATCGAGGCTCCGCACCAGGCCGGGCACGTCCAGGTACTCGCCCACGGGCACGGCCACCTCCAGCTCCCCGCTGTACCGGGCCACGCCCACGCGGGCCCGGGCGTCCTCGTTCAGCGACGCCTGGGCAAACCGCCGCACAAAGGCCTTGGCCCGCTGGAAGCCCTCCGGCGTGGTGCCCGCCGAGCTGGCCAGCAGGAAGAGGACGTCGATTCTGCACGGCAGGCTCAGCATCGGGGCTGCCGACACCACAGCGGCCGTCAGGCTGTGGCCACCAGGGCCATGCCGGCCACCGTCCCACCCGAGAGGCCCAAGCACCACACCAGGCAGCAGGAACCTCTCTCCCGGGGGCGGGGGACAAGTGGAGGGAGACGGGGTGGACACAGGCTGCAGGGGCTGTGACCACTGCACAGCACAGAGCTCTCCCTCTGGGTCTTGCTTAAAATCTAACATGTAGCCCAACCGGAGTGGTTTCATGGTTGAGCATCGATCCACGAACCAGGAGATCACAGTTCAACTCCCAGTCGGGGCACATGCCCAGGTTGTGGGCTCGATCCCCAGTAGGGGGCATGCAGGAGGCAGCCTATGGATGATTTTCATCATGGGTGTTTCTCTCTCCCTCTCTGAAATCAATAAAAATATATATTGTTAAAAATGGACATGCAACCTATTCTACAACCGCCCCCTCCACCCCATTACAGTTAGTGCCTCTTGTGTCCTGTTTGGGAAATCCTGCAGCTACGCTCCTTCCTCTGTGAAAACAGACGGCTCTCGGCTCGGCCTTCGACACTCAGATCTACGGTCCTTCTGGAGCTGCCTTTTGTGGGGCTTGTGAGGTAGAGGGTCTTCCGTGTCCATCTCCAATGGACCCAGCACGACGTTTTTATAGAATTCATTAAATGAGCCCCTACTTCCTGCTGAGGCAGTGTGCCCAGCGCTTAGCATAGAGGGAGGGGCAAAAGTAGGTTTACAGTGGTGAGTGCACAAAACAGGGTTCATTCTCATATGGTGGTGTACTAATGATTGTATTGCTTTCCCATACGAACTACGATCAACCTACTTTTGCTCCATCCTGTACATAATCTGATTCCAAGCTCCCAACAGCCCTAGGAGGTGCAGCCTATTACAGTCTCTATTTCATACCTTTAAAACCAAAAAAGGAAACACACCGAAACCGGTTTGGCTCAACGGATAGAGCGTCGGCCTGCGGACTGAAAGGTCCCGGGTTCGATTCCGGTCAAGGGCATGTACCTTGGTTGCGGGGACATCCCCAGTAGGGGGTGTGTAGGAGACAGCTGATCGATGTCTCTCTCTCATCGATGTTTCTAACTCTCTATCCCTCTACCTTCCTCTCTGTAAAAAAAATCAATAAAAATATTTTTAAAAAAGTAAACCTTAGAAAGAAAAACCAAAAGAGAAACACCCCCCCCACACATACACACACACACACACACGCACAAAGGATTGAGGCTCCCCTTCCCAAAGAAGGGGCTCCGCCCAGCACCAGGTCCGAGCTGGGCTGGCTCCTGCCTGCAGCTGGGCTCAGCGATGCTCAGGTGTCAAGCAGTGACCATTCAGAAGCTAATGAGCCAGGAGTCGCTGTCCCACCCAGAGCTCCATTCACGGAGACTCAGAGGCCAAATCCCATGAGACACCACAGCACGGGGCCCTTAGTAAGTGGGTGGCTCTCAACTCAAGGGCCAGTTTCCTCCTCGTAGCTCCAGGGTGAGGGGTGAGGGGCGAGCCAGGGGACCCGGGACGCCACCCCTCCCCAATGGCCCACGTTGAAGGTCCCGTGCACACGTACCACAGTTAGCCTCCTCCCTGAAGGCCGGCGAACACAGGCAGTGGTACCTGTCCAGTCCTTCTGGAACACACGTGCCTCCGTTCTGGCAAGGCTGCGAGTCACAGGGGCCTGGCAGAGAGATGCCCGTGAACGGCCCAGCACGTCGGCCCACAGGCGCAAATCCCTCAGGCCACCCTGCCCCACTCCCCGGGAACCACCAGGAAACTAGCTGCAACACCTACAACAAAGTGGGGAAGAAAGTGGGGTGCGCAGAGGAGGGGCTGGGTGTGGGTGGCAAAGGACACTTGATGGTGAGCTTGGTGAGGCCCTGTGTGAATGACCTGCTCACATGGGGCCATGACAATGGGGCCCAGCTGCTATGGATGGAATTAAGTGATCCCCCCTCCCCCTTCCTATGTAGACATCCCAACCCTCAGTACCTCTGCATGTGACTGTATTTGGAGATAGGCCTTTTAAAGAGCAAATTAGCCAGAACCAGTTTGGCTCAGTGGATAGAGCGTCGGCCTGGGGACTGAAAGGTCCCGGGTTCGATTCCGGTCAAGGGCATGTACCTTGGTTGCGGGCACATCCCCAGTAGGGGGTGTGCAAGAGGCAGCTGATTGATGATTCTCTCTCATCGATGTTTCTAACTCTCCATCCCTCTCTCTTCCTGTGAAAAATCAATAAAATATATATATTTTTAAATGAAAATAAAGAGGAAATTAAGTCTAATTGAGGTCACAGGGTGGGTCCTAATCCAATACGAATAATGTCCTTAGAGGAGGAGACACCAGGAAGGGCCGTGCATGAAGCAGAGGCCGTGTGAGGCCACAGGGAGAAAATGACCATCTGCAAGCCAAGCAGAGGGCGGAGAAGGAACAGAACTGGCTGACACCTTGACCTTGGGCCCGCAGCCTCCAGAACTGTTAGAAAATACATCTCTGTTGTTTAAGCCTCAGAGAACGAACACAACAAGCCAGAACATGCCCCAGCTGCGAGGGGGCGGGAGGGGGGGACTCCCAGGGGCCACGGCGATGAACTGGTGCTAGACCTGAGCTGGATGGGGCGAAGGTCTCGGAACCATGAAGCCGGCAGCATGGGTGTCTCAAGATGGGGAACGCTGCAGGGGGATGGCGCTAAGGAATAGTCTCTGGAGGCTGCACAGCCACCCAGCGAGCCTTTGGACCCTGGAGTGAAGGAAAGTGCCTCCTCCACTCACTCAGGCACCTCCCAGCCCCTCTCAGCTCCAGTATCCTCAGCTGAAAAGGTGACGCCGGAGCTGGCCCGGAGGAGATTGCATGAACTCATCCACGGGAAGTCTTAGGACTGAGCCCGACACAAAGCCAACGGCCCACAACAGGTAAGACGCCAGCCTCGTCCCAGGGCCCAGGCTGAGCAGGAGAATCCAAGGGGCGGACTGTACCTGGGCAGGTGGTCCTGTAGCAGGTGGCGGGGTGGGTTAAGAATACTCTTTTCCAGCTGCAATCCAAGCACAGGGACAGTAGAGATCACAAGGTTAACAGGAGGGCAGACGCCGGGGAAGGTTACTTAGAATACAAAGCTGCTCTAGCTGGTTTGGCTCAGTGGATAGAGCATCAGCCTGCAGACTGAAGGGTCCCAGGTTTGATTCCCATCAAGGGCACATGCCCGGATTGCAGGCTCCGTCCCCAGTAGGGGATGTGCAGGAGGCAGCCGATCAATGATTCTCTCTCATCATTGATGGTTCTATCTCTCTCCCCCTCTCCCTTCCTCTCTGAAATCAATCAAAATATGTATATTTTTTAAGAAGCCCATGAAGCTGGTATAAAATTCCAATGCAGCCGCCTGTCAAGAGAGACTTCCTTGTTTTCTGTCTACCCCAGCTTCTATCTGCTATCCAGAGACAATTAAAAAAAAAAAAAAAAAAAAAAAAAAAAAGAGAGAGAGAGAGAGAGATAATGTACATTGGCTATCACGTCAGAAGTTAGAGATATCTGTGTTCCAAACTCAGCAGTGAGAACAGCTTTCTATTACCAGCTCCTTTCTGGGGCCAACTGGCTGTGTGACCCCAGGCAAGTTACTTTCCTTCCCTGGTCTTCAGTTCCTTCTTCTGGATGGTAACTCTAGCTATAGTTTTCAACTGGGACCCTTGAGCCGCAGTGGAGAGGGAAGGAGACTGGCCCGGGGCGGTCCTGCAGGTGGTGTGGGCCAAGCCGAAGGACTGGCCAGGGATTGTGAGGGCCGGGCTGCCGGCTGGGCAGCAGGGGTCGAGAACAGCGGTCACAAACAGGCAGTCTAGGGGCCACTGGTAGCCCGTGAGGTCCGAAAGGTTGGCAACCACTGCTCTAGAATGCCTGAGCTCTGGTCCTGAGGATCCCAGGATCCCCCTGGGCCACCACATGAATCACCCAGGATCTAGGCCTTTTGCCGCTCAGGCCCCCATAAACATGGAGATGGGTGCTCAGGGGAACCAAGTCACCAGGTCACCCTCCCAGGTCCAGAGCACGGCCCTGAAGGACCAGCTTACGGCCCCCTTACCAGCCTCCAGAATGGTTGTGACCCTGCCACCCTCACTCACCCTGGGCACCCAGGTGGTGTGTGTCAATGACCCCCCCTTACACCCCGAGGCTCTGTCCTGGTTCCCCCAACCCCGCACTCCTCCAAACCCCACAGCTCCTGAGTGCTTGGCCTTGGGGACCTCCATCACACCCAGGCCTTGCCCTGGAGCTCGGACCCCAGACCACAGGACAAACCTGAAGAAGGGGCAGGGTGCCGCCAGCACACCCTCGGTCCCCCGCGATCCTCTCCAGCACAGGCTGCTGCCCACAAGCTCCCGGACCGTCTCCAGCGTCTTGCGCTCACAGGGGTGAGGCTGGACCCTGCAGTCTGTGTCCACCCGATGGAGAAGACAGGGTTACGCCTGCTCCCCGGCTGGGGTCCACCACACTCAGCCCTGCCTCCACCTTCTTTCTCCCGGGGCAGAGCACACTGGGGAGGGCTCTGCGCTGCCTCTTGCTGGGCGCCAGTCTATGAGCATCTGCCCTGCCCAGCTCCACACCCCGTGCACACATGCGTGTTTTCTGTAAAACGCTTCACTCTAGGCGACTATGCGTGCCGGCATCTGGCCCCGGGCTGCAGAGTCCATTGGTTCACCACAGCAGGGCACCAATTTGGCTCCCCCTCCTTCCCACCCCCCTGAATAGGGGACAGGTTCAGGGGCCCCATGTGCTCCCAAGCCCTGGGCACATTGACCCCATGGAGACAAGCTCCAGGTTCCCGCTGAGAATCCCACATGGAGACTGGACACAGCAGAGAGCCCTGGGGCCGAGGCTGTGGGACCCTGTGCCTCTCGCCCTCCCTCCTTGGGGAGGCCCCTGAGTGCTTACCTCGTGCTGGGGAACCCTCCCCACCCACACCCCACTTCCATCCCACAGACACCCCGCGCGCACGTGGCCAGCCTGGAAGGCCGCACCTGGAGAGGCGAAGGCGCAGACGTCAGAGCTGCGGAGGGCGCTGAACAGCCCGTTGGCGGCGTCCTCCACCTGCTCGGCCATCAGCACGTGCTGCTCCCTGGGCGCGCTGGCCAGCGCCTGCAGCTCCTCCCACCTGGCCCGGCCCCCGCATGGTACAGGCCTGTCACTCCCTGCCCTCCCGGCTTCTAGCCCATGGGCAACACACACACCACACATACCACACACACTTCACCCCCCCACACATACACCCCCACACACACACCCCACACATACACTCCCCCCCACACACACACCACACATACCACACACACACTACACACACCCCACACACATACACCCCCCACACACACCCCTCCCACACACACACACACCCACACCCCCCACCTCCCCCCCCACACACACCCCCCACACACACACCCCACACACATACACCCCCACACACATACACCCCCACACACACTACACATACCACACACACTACACACAAACCCCCCACACACACCCCACACACATACACCCCCTACACACACACACACACACCCACATACACCCCCCACACATACACCCCCCACACATACACCCCACACACACACACCACACATACCACACACACTACACACACACCCCACACACACGGCCACGGAAGCCACTTCGCTGAGCCCACAGGAATGGCCCGGTGCTGGCGGCTGTCACCTGGGAAAGCGCACCCCCACGGCGAACACCGTGACCCCGCTGTCCTGCAGCTGCTTGGCCGGCAGCGCCACGGGTCCCTGGGACCTGCCGTCGGTAAGGACGATGAGGACCCGGGGCACGGAGGCGTTCCTGCCCCCGGGGAAGCCTCTGTGCAGGAGGTCCTTCAGCGCAAGGCCCGTCTCGGTGGGCCCTCCTCTGAGCTCACCAGAGGAAAGACAGAACGTGAATTAGTGATCCAGAGAGGGGACGTGGGCAGGCAGTGGCTCCTCTGTCAGTGGGGACAGCCACATGGCCCCGGAAGGAGCTCAAAGTGGCAATTCCTACCACGACAGATGCTCACCCTTCAGGCCACAACCATGGTGAACAGACCTGAACGTTTCCCGGGACCTTAAGGTGCCCCACGCACAGCTCTGGGGTTTAGGCAATGGTGTCTCTCTCGGGGTCTGCCCCACGGGTGGCTGTGGGCTGACAACGCCCATCGTCTGTCTACCACCCATCTCCCACCGCCCCACCCACCGCGGTGCCATCCCCTTGTTACGGCTCAGCACCTCCCTGGGTGGGCGAGCAGATGAGCGAGCTCTCAGTGAGAATCCACACTGCAGATTGCTTCCAGGTCAGGCTCGGGCGCTGGGAGGCTGCAGTTTGCTTCCAGATCAGGCCAGGTGACAATGCTCCCCACTCACTGGGATGCTAAGAGTCTGTAACCTTACGGGCCAGTTACAGGGACTGTCCACAGGTTTGGAATCCCACTGCAGAATCTCTGCGAACCCCCACAAAAGGAGGCTCGTCCCAGCCCTCAGAGGGAGGCCTGCTGGCTCTGTGTGTCAACCGGGCAGAAAAGAAGGACTCGCCACAATGGGTTTTCAGGCCAATCACAGGGAACTGCGAGTAGTGTTACCGGGAGATGGATGAAAAAAAAAAGTTCTTTGAACTAGCACCTAAGTTCCCACCCGGGGCATCCCCAGATAATAGGGGCAGCCCTGAGGGGGGCGCTCTCATTACCCAGCAAGCCCAGCGGGGACTCTGGACACCCAGCCCCTCTGGGAGGCCAAGGGCAGGGCCAGACCCTCCAAGGGCGGTTTTCGGAGCAGCCAGCCGCATCCTCCCAGGGCAGAGTGAGCGTACATACTTGAAAACCATCCTCTTGAGTTTCGTCTTCACTTCCTGTTGGGTTGCCAAGGAGTCCAAGGGGAATTCCAGCCAAGGGGCGGAACTGAACTGGACCGCTCCCACCCTGACCTGCAGGAGGAGACAGAGGGCCCAGGGGTTGAGAGCGGGTCAATCACACGCATTCCTCAGAGGAAAGATAGGATGAGAAAGGCCAACGACCCAACAATCCCCGGAGCCAGCGCTGCCTCTGGTCTCCCCAAGAAAAGGTTCCCGAGACCAGGAGAAGAATCTGGAAGGAAACAGTGCCATCTGCCCGTGTCTGCACTGACATCCACCACTCCGCCTCCATTCCCTCGACCCCCAGGCTGGCACTTCGCTCGGCCGAGCTGAGAACATGTCTTTGCTCACATGTACCGAATGCCTGCCAGGCGCAAGGTACTTAGATATGGAAAAATTCCTAAGACATGAGAAGGGAATAAAGCAAGGAACAGAACAGTGTGCATCACATGCTACTCTTTGCATAAAAGGGGGAGGGAGGAATAAGAACCTATGCACGCATTGCTTGTGTTTGCGTGGAGTGATCCTGCAGAGATGCTCAAGAAAGCAGGTAGGGGCACCGAGGCAACGGGAAGCGTGTGAGCCAATGGGAAAAGGAGGGACACTTTTCACTAGACGTCTATTTTTTTTTTTTTTTAATTAAGGCATGGGAATGAATTGCGTGGTTTCAAAGAAAGCCTCCTCAGAGACCAACAGCTGGGTGCATTTACTTGGGAGCATTTAAACAGGAAGGACGCAACTTCAAAACAAGAAACAAGCCGCGTGAGCCAGTGGCTGAGGCGTTTCATTTAATTGGTGGTTTGGGAGCAAAAGGAGCTGCCTTTTATGTTCAGTTTACTGTCTGCTCAGAAGCCAGCCCGCCCAGACGTCTCACCTCCCCGCTATAATCATCACATGACAGCCAGGAAGTGAGCTTCACCGCTTGCACCTTTTTTTTTTTTTTTTTTTTTTAACTTCTCAGCTTTTAAGTATTGAGAGGAAGACTTCAAACACCTTAAACCCACCCCAACAACAAGCATCCCTAAAAGCTTTAATGCTAGCGACTTGAAAATGTCTTCCTGAAAAGTGAAGTTACTGAAAGTAAAATCTCTTGCACAATGGAGAGAAGATGACACATCGGAGCTCCTATACATGGAGATAACAGAAGACAAAAAAAATAAAAAATAAAAAATAAATGCAGCAACAAGAACATAAAACCCGGCCCTAACCGGTTTGGCTCAGTGGAAAGAGCGTCGGCCTTCAGACTGAGGAGTCCCAGATTCAATTCCGGTCAGGGGCATGTACCTTGGTTGTGGGCACATCCCTAGTGGGGAGTGTGCAGGAGGCAGCTGGTAGATGTTTCTCTCTCATCAATGTTTCTAACTCTCTATCCCTCTCCCTTCCATTCTGTAAAAAATCAATAAAATAAATAAACGATGATTTTTCTAACACCATTGTTTCTAAAAAACAAACAAACAAACAAAAAACCATAAAACCCAAAGCCACAAAGCAGATGGAACCATCTGAAACCGCCCAGACGTAAATAAAACCCTTCACTGGCATCCCAGCAATGAACTGGAGCACAGGGAGGTCGGGATGCCCACACTCGCTCTGACACAGACCCCGACTCCTCTGCACACCAAGTCTGGCTGTGAGGAGGCTTCTCTGGGGCCAAGCCCACACGTATCTCCCTGCACACCAGCTTCCGCCCTCCAAAGACCACGGAGCCACTCTGAACCCTCTTTCATTGGAAAATGAGAACCAGGTTCCCTATTTGGAAATTCCCAGGCCTCTCACTGTTCCACTCCTTGTCGTGGGCACTGTCTGGTTTGCCACTGTCTAACCTACGAACGCCACGTTCTAGATGTGGCTTGGGATGAAGTGTCCTGAACGCTGGGTCCCTGGGGGTTGGGACAGGTACTCGCAACAGCACCAGCCATCACGTTTTTTGTTTCTCATTGAGAATCTTGAATTCCATCAGCACCCTCCACTTCCACATACACACACAACCCAGTCATACATACACACTCTCCGGCAGGCACGCGCGCGCGCACACACACACACGCTCAGACACACAATGCCATGTTGTCACTTCCGATATGACAGCAGGATGTGAAGGCTGACCCTCATCACCTCATCCCACCCAATGGGTAGGAACAAATGACCTGTGAAACAAGCCCCGAGCTGAGCGTCAAGAGCCTAGTTCTTCCACACTGAGCTTCCTTCTAAGGTTGCTATGTGACCCTGGGCAGTCACTTAGACTCTCTGAGCATATTCCTTCAAATGTAAACATCCTCTAGTCACCCACACAGTTCTTCTCTCCCAACATGCCATCAGCTGAGATCTCTCGGCCATCCCCTTCAGGATATACAACATCAATGCCACGGTCAACAGTGTTGGATCTTTATGACTCTTCCTCCAGGAATAGCTAGTGGAATTCTATAGGGAATCCTTTCCTTTGAAAAGCAGAGCCCTCTGTGGAAGAGGGTGGAGACTGGGCAGGCGCAGGCGCAGGCCTAGGCCCTGGCCCTTTTAGGATCTGTGATGGGCTGACTGTACAGTTGGAACTTCCGGGCTGCTCTGCTACGGTGTCTTCCAATAGCTCTGCAAGGCTGCCTGAGGTCCCGGGAATGTGCTCCCTCTCTCGACGTGACATGCCATTCTGGAGGACATCCGGCCCCCATAAAGGGCCACTTTTGCTCCTAAATCCTAGGGGTTTTTGTAGGATTAACCCAGGAATGGCATCTTGGACAACCCTCTGTGGGAGTACATTTAGAATAACGTTCTGGGCGAAAGGGAACAAGCCTTTGTAACGCTGACGGATGCTGGCGGGGCTGCACACTCCTGCCAGCGGGGTGTGAGAACGGCAGCTTCCTGGGGCCCTGCCAGGGCGGCGTGCCACCAAACTTTGGGTTGTTGCTAACACAGTCAGTGAACACCGGTGTACTCGTCGGAGGTTTGCTATTCCATTGGCTGCTATTCCACTGCTATTTCCTATGTCCGAGGGCAATGTGCGTTCCATTTTCTGGGAATTGTCTGTCATGTTCATCACCCGTTTTTCTATTGGAGTCATTCCAAAATGCCCCTTTTGGCCACCGGAGCCGCAGCAAGCACCCTCTGCGGGCACTTAAAGCCTCCTGTGCGGAGCCAGGAAGAACAAGAAGTGAACACACTGGCTGGATCACTCAGGCAGGACTAGTTCCTTTCAAGCGAACAGAGAGGGTAGGAGGAGCTGCGCTTTGCACTGAGGTGCTAGTCTTAGGAGGTAGTGACATGCTCTCTCTTTCCCACTGTTATCTTGCTAGTGGGAAACCAAATCCGTGTGTTCATCACCACCCCAGGTCTGGCCACAGGAGTCCCTTGAACTACTGTGATTGGTTGAGAGATTGTCATGTGACCTATACCTGCCCAATCAGAGCCTTCCCTGGGACTTCTGACAGACACAGGGAAGGAAGTCCACATTCTTTTTACTGGTGTCACTAGCTTCAAGGACAAAGCAAGGCAGCTTTGCTATGGGTGGGAAGGAAGCCAGCTGTTACAAGCAAAACTGAACGAAGAAAAAGGGGGGCCTAGCCTTTGGGTCCCACTGCACCTGGAATCATGATTCACCCCCTGGGTCTTTCCACTTCCACAAGCCAGCAGCGCCCTCTTCTGCTCAAGATTGGACTTCTGTCGCTTGCAACCAAAGGCATCCTAAATACAGAGGCAGCAAGGCGTGCACTCACCCTCTCAGGGTTGATGTCCAGAGCGTCGCAGACCGTGACGGCAAAGTGCTTGGCCCTTTCAAAGCTCCCTTTCCCGATGCTGTGAGAGCCATCCATCAGGAACAGGACGTCCACCGCAGCCGAGCACCACGCAGCTGGGGAGAGGGGACAGGTGGGTGACCATACACTTCCTTGCAGTAGGGTCCCGAGAGGGTCTCACTCCCAAAGCAGAGAGGAGGCAGAAAGGACCCGGGGTGGGTCAGCTGCTGCTCCTCTTAGGTCAGTGAAGGGCAGAATGAAGGCTGGGAAAGATTCGGGCCAGCGGCAGCCCCTCTGCAGCGGGAACTACATGCCCACACGGGCACGATGCTCAGAACGAGACCCTCCCGTGAAGGTCTGGGATGACGGGAGAGTCTAATCTGACAGCACTGACTTGAGCCATAGGGCCGCAGGGGCTGCTGGGCCAGTGCGGGATCCTGAAGAGCCCTGATCCCAGCTCTCGGGGACCACAGTCTGGTCTGGCACACAGCCAGGCTCCTTAGTGCATGAGGTCAGGTGACCCAGGAGTTCAATACCAGCAGCACTGACCGCATCTTTCCCACACACCGGGCACTGTTTAAACCCATTATATGGACTGTTCACTTCATCCTTACACTCACCCCTAGATGACTATCTTTAAAAATCCAGTGGGAGCTGTGCAGGAGGCAGCGGATCGATGTTTCTCTCTCACCGATACTTCTAACTCTCTATCCCTCTCCCTTCCTCTCTGTAAAATATCAATAATATATATATATATATTTAAAATTTAAAAAAAAAAAAAAAACAACAATAAACAAACATGGGCTTACTTTTGCTGGCGGCTGCAATCTTCCCCAGGGTCTCCCTGCTCATGTGGATTTCCTGAAGAGGGAGGGAAGGGGGCGCTAGGAGAGAAGACACCAGAGGCAGTCACTGCGTGCAGAGCCAGCCCACAGCCGTGAGTGAAGACTGTGCAGGCTCTCCCTCTCATGGAGCTTCTATCTGGCGGAGAAGATGGGACACTGACTTCAAAAGATTCACAGGGAAACCAACTCTCCTCTGTGTTCAGTGCTACATCTCCGAGGAACCAAGGCCTCAGGGAGTTTTAATAGAGGCTCTGACCCGACCTGGGGTCCAGCAGGAGCTGTGCTGGGTGCTGAAGGATGCGCGGGAGTTCCCAGGGTGGCAGCGTGGGAGTGAGGGTGTGGGCTGAAAGGGGTATGGACTGGCAGCACAAAGGGTGGGGAGGGGTCTGATCAGGCTGGGCCGCTAAGAGATAGGGGAAAGGTTTCAGGCGGGGGGTAGAAGTGGAGAGGGATCCAGATGTGCCAAATTTTGCATTTTTAAATGGTCGCTATGGGCAGAATGGGCTGGACGAGAACTGGGTCCAAGCCTGAGGGGTTGGAGCTTAGCCCAGGCAGGTGGCTGTGAAGTGGAGACACACAGAGGCATTCAGCAGAGCTTTCCACGTTAACATGGACAGGCTGCGACACAACTCAAAGCCCTCCACGCCTTCCCTCTCTTCCCCCCAACCGGAACTTACCTCCCGCCAACAGGCAAATGCAGAGGGCTTCCAGCAGCAGGCCGGAGGACATGTTGATGGGCTACAGGGCCGGGGCGAGAACAAAAGCAACAGCCATGATCTCTGTGAGCTCCCGTCACACACCCAAACGAGGTGACAAGTGCTATGCAGCCCAGGTCAGCACAGGGACCCTGAGCCACTGCTCCGAACGCCTTCCACACTGAGATGGCACCCCTCTAAGTGACAACCTGACAGGCAGGCACTGCATCTGGCCCGTGGGGGCAGAGAACCTGCACCCTGAATCTAGAAGCACCCGCTTCTCATTGGATGTGAAGTGACCCCGAGAGGGGCAGTGGTTCCAGCACCAGGAGGTTGTACCAGACACTGCTAAAAATCCCATTTGGTCTGGCCAGTGTGGCTCTGTGGTTGAGCGTTGACCTATGAACCAGGAGGTCATGGGTCAATTCCAGGTCAGGCATATGCCTGGGTTGCAGGCCTGATCCCCAGTGTAGGGCGTGCAGGAGGCAACCAATCAATAATTCTCTCTCCTTCTCCTTTCCTCTCTGAAATCAATAAAAACATGTATATTTTTAAATGTATATTTTTATTGATTTCAGAGCAGAAGGGAGAGGGATAGAGAAATAGAAACATCAATGATGAGAGAGAATCATTGAGTCCGAAACCCAGGCATATGCTCTTGAATGGAACCAAACCTGGGGACCCTTCAGTCCACAGGCTGATGTTCTATCCACTGAGCCAAACCAGCTAGGCCAATGGTCGGCAAACTCATTAGTCAACAGAGCCAGATATCAACAGTACAACAATTGAAATTTTTTTTGAGAGCCACATTATTTTTAAACTTAAACAATATAGGTAGGTACATTGTTATTAACTTAATTAGGGTTCTCCTAAGCTAGCCTTTGCTAAAAACTTAAAGGGCCTAAGAGCCGCAAGTGGCTCTCGAGCTGCAGTTTGCCGACCACTGAGCTAGGGCAAAAACATATATTTTTAAATCCCCTTTGATCTCCCCTCCATCCTGAACCTATGATAGTCAGACCTTACTCAACTGTATATTCAGCTTATTGAATTTCAAAACACTTTGAAAAAAAAACAAGATCAAATATTCCAGTTGGCCGGATCTAACCCTGAGGCCCCTCTTCACCTCACCTGGGTGAAAAGAGGAGATTCGGCATTGCGAGAGTGGGGGAGCCAGGCGCTCCCCAGACACCATGCAGGGAGGACCATGGCCGGAGGGGATCCGGGCGGCTGAGGGCCCACACGCTTCCTGCTGGCTTCCGGCCTGGTGCATGCCAGCCAGGCGCTCCCTTTCCCCCAAGGACACGTTTTCTCCCCTCTCACTCCACACAGACGCAGGGCAAGTCCCCACCTGCCACTCGGAGCCAGGCTAGCGCCGGGCCTGTGGGCGAGGGCAGGGCAGGGCAAAGGCTACCACCAACTTCCAAATGCTACAGACTCCCTAAGATCAGGATGGTTTTCTGGCATCACAGCTTCTGACCTTGGGCACACGCAGGACTCTGAGGCTCAGGCCTGCTAATATTTTACAAAACCAGGATTCTAGCCGTCTCCCCAGGCTGCCCTGAGGACAAGCTGGAAGAAAGTCTGGAAGATTCCTGCCACCCAGTAAGCATGAAACAAACCCAAGCAATATGTCATCTCGCTCTGCCATGCGCCCTTGCGTGCCCAGGCGAATGTTTCCAAGTTTCCGCTCACGAAAAAAAATTGTATGTTGGTAGTTTGCAAATTGATGCCAGAGGCCAGAGGCTTTCTCGGAAGTGTGTGGACAGCCCCAGCACAACCCCTGCTGTGACCCAGCCCACACACCGCATGAGACAGGTGCCTGCTGGGTAAACGGAGCACCGCAATGGCCGCTGCCCACCACAGATGGGAAACTTCCAGACCAGTCTTTGTGCTCACTGCGGTCTCTTTTGTACTGAGATGAATGTAAAGGATGCTATTTCGAACCCAACCAACCATTTCAAACACTCAGCTTCTTCTCCCCTTCTCACATATCAAAACTTTCTTAAGATACGAATTCGCTATTCTAAATACAAACCTATATCTAAACACTTAATATATATATAAATAATTTTATTGATTTCAGAGAGGAAGGGAGAGGGAGATAGAAACATCAACGATGAGAGAGAACCACTGATTGGCTGCCTCCCACACTCACCTCCTACTGAGGATAGAGCCCACAATCCTGGCATGTGCCCTTGACAGGAATCGAACCCGGGACCCTTCAGTCCGCAGGCTGACACTTTAGTCACTGTGCCAAACCAGCTAGGACTAATCACCTTTTTAAAATAATGAATTCACAGTGAAATTGCACAGCTACTACCATCAAGTGGGTATTTATTGTGTGCCTGCTGCCTGGCTCCATACATTTATGTCTTCTCTCCCCTAATCCATGCAGTCAGCCAACGAGAACATTATTCCCATTTTACAGATAAGAAAATTGAGGCAGGTGGAGAAGTCAGGTGGTTGGTACCAGGTTATACAGCGAATAAGAGCATCCAGACTCCATCCTGGCCTCTGGGGGTGCGGGGGGGTCTGTTCAACCCCTCACCTTCCTGATGCTGGGGAATCAGGAGAGAGGAACAGACATATAAACTAAACGTCTGCCACCCCTGCGGCCTGCCCACTGGCAGTTTCCCAGCCACCTCCTACCCTGCCAGCAACTCCCACAGTGGAGCACACGAGGAGATTCCTGTAGCCGTCTGCATCCTTTTACAAAGCAGTGAGGGGTAGCCTGCCACCCAGGGCAGAAACAGACCATTCGCTCCCAGGTGAACCCTGTCAAGCTTTCTCCATCCCATTAGCCTCCGTCACACCTTTGTTCCTTTCTGTTCCATGACCCATGCCAATCCCGAGCATCATTCCTGGCGCCTGGGACTCACACATGGACTTAGATGCCCCCCAACCCCCAATCTTTTCGTCTGACTGTTGTCTAGGAATCCTGATCCCACACAGCACCTGCGGCATTTGGGGACACATTTGGGGACAGCGAGTGAGTGGGTTTGCTGCAGGGCACACAAAACACTGCACTCTGCGACACAGGAAAGAAACCGAGGCCAAAACAAGGATCCTTTTGAAAAACCAGGGAGGACTGGTGAGAGCTACAGGCAGTTTTGCAGGACAATGCCCGCCTTCTCCTCCTAGATGGGAAATAAATGAAGGCAGGGTGAAAGGAGAAACCACTTCCACCTCCTTACAAAATGCAACTCCACACCCGAATATTAGATTAGCCCTCCGCAGCCTCTTCTCAATGGGCTGGGATAGAAACCTGAGCCCTTTGTAAGGACAGTCAACCCCTGAACAGGAAGGCTACAATCAGCATAGGAGTCTCCGGGCCAGGAAGCCATGGGTGTCTTTTGCTGTGACAATGATCTTTCTTGCCCATTTATTTGGCCAAACACCTGGCTCCGTGTCTAGGGAAGTGGACAGCACCTCTTTAGTTTGACGAGGCAGGGAAAGCATTTTAATAAAAGCCGCTCGGGGAAAGTAATGCTCCCCCTGAAAGAATCACAAATTTTCAGAACCCAATAGTCTGACACCCAGAAGTCAGCACTCAGGGACAATGCTGTTTGGATTCCCTGGATGATTGGGGAGAGAGCTGGGCAGGTGGGCAGAAATTGCAGAGCCTCCCACACCTGATAAAAGATACTTTTAGCCAAAAGAGATTTTAATGATTGTTTTGATGATCTCTGAAAATCCCAAATTCACTGCCTTGGGACTCCAGGAGGCACACACACAGGACCGGAAGCCCAGAGACCGAATTCCAGCCTAGAGCTGCTTGAAACCAGCTGGGAGACTCTGCAAACAACATCCCGGGACTCGGTCCATGCGGCTGTCAAATGGGGAGGATCTGTTTCACCAAGTCACGCTGTGGTGTGAAGATTCTATGAAATATCGCATGAACATCCATTTGATAAAACACTTTCCAAATGGCCGAAACTGGTTTGGCTAAGTGGATAGAGCGTCGGCCTGCAGACTGAAAGGTCCCAGGTTCGATTCCGGTCAAGGGCATGTACCTTGGTTGCAGGCACATCCCCATAGGGGGTGTGCAAGAGGCAGCTGATCGATGATTCTCTCTCATCGGTGTTTCTAGCTCTCTATCCCTCTCTCTTCCTCTCTGTAAAAAAATCAATAAAATATATTTAAAAAAAAAAAAAACCACTTTCTAAATGAACGAGGGTAAAAGATGACCATTACATATATCAACTTCATGAAACACCACGCATGCCCCATGGGGGAGGCATGACCATTTCCTTTGGACACGAAAATGGTCTTGGGAGAAGTTGCGGCCCGAGGTCCCAGAGCTAGTAATCCGCAAGCTCGATGTCAAGTCCAGGTCTCCTGACGGCGGACAGCTCGCTGTTGACAAGAAGCGTGCAGCCCTAACGGGACATCAGGAGCCCTGAGAGCGAGCCTCCCAGGTCACTTCCTGCACTTCAGTCTCTCCGTTTCCTGTTTACCTGGGAAGGTTGCTGGCAGGATCACAGGATCACACATTGCAAAAGCGCCCTGGGTCAGGGCAGTTCTCTCACTGGAGACCAGGGGCTCTGGATCAGGGAAGGAAGTGAGGGCTCAGACAGGAGTCAGGCCAGGGAGGCCCCGCAGGTAATCTTGCAGGTGGGAAGCAGGCAGTCTACAGCTGCTCAGAAGATAACAGGGTGAACTAAAGGGAGGGCTTCAAGTGGATTCAGCTGTCCCACGGGGCTGGCTTGGCAAAACGCCGAAATGGGGGTGTTGCCTGGATACTCTTCCTTGTGAGGGTCCCCAAGAAACCCCCATAGCCTTGTAGATGATGGGATGATTTTTTTTTTTTTTATACCCTGGTGAGAGGAGGGGAACTACTTCAAGTGGATGGTAAACCAAAAACCAGATTTTAAGAAAAATACATCATTGATGGTCTTCAAACAGGCAGGTACCTGTATGATAAAGGAAGTCCCTCCCCTCTTCCCGTGGCATTTGCCTGGGGACCTAGTCCGGGAAATTCTTACACAGACAAGAGTCTGGCTCTTGCTGGATGTCTATAAAGGAAGAGAACTG